CTAATTTGCACAGATCCACAGGATTTTTTTTTTTATTTTTATTTTTTTAAGACGCTATTAAAGGATTTGGCTTTTAACAATATTTCTGAGTCTGTTAAGATAATACCTTGCACTTTTTTGCATAATTCCTAGTTTCATATCTTTTCTCATTATACACTATATTTCGGAAGCACTAAAATCTGATCTGGAATTTCAACGGTATATGTGTTAATTTAAACATGCATTGCTACAGTGAGAGTAACAGCTTCTTATTACACAGTTCCCCTCCATTGTATTCAGGCACAACAGGGCAAACTGTATCATATATATCATGAAGTTGATGACAGCTGTAACTAAGATGATGCCCTCTCCAACCCACCCAAAGATGTTGCCATAGCTAAATAGCCCTTCCGGCCAGGTGAAGATACATTACAACAAGAAACAGGGAAAACATGAAGTGAGAAAATTAAATAAAGCAAGTAGCGCAAAGTTGGAAAATAGCACGGTCATGAAGCAGTGTGATAGGAAGTGTCCTTTATATCCTCCATCAGCCTAGGGCTATAGTAGCATAACTACAGAGATAACTATTGATTTCTTAGGCAATTGTAACTGTGAGCTTCATCAAAAATAACGTTTTAAGCCTAATTCTGAAAGTAAACGCTTTGTCTGCCTCACAGACTAAAACTAGATGTAGATTCAAGAGGAAAGGAGTCTGAAATTATTATTTAGAGATTTATAGAGGAGAAAGAGAATTTTAAGCCTTCTCTTAATTAAATAAAGTGAAGCTAAAATAGGATAAATATTATCCTTAATTTTAATTTTCATCAGAATACTCCAGTATTTGGATCAAATTAAGGTTTTAACTACTTATTGTGGACTCTCAGGTAGTCAAGTATTACAATTGTCCAACAGTGAAGTAACAAATGGACTAGTATTTAACTCAGTCCTTGATAGAATATTTCTAATTTTGGCAACATTCCAGAGACAACAGAAGGAAATTCTAGAAACTTAGGATTTAACTCATATTCGTTTTTTAATTCGTTATCGAAGGCCTGTTTTCTCTCATCCAGATTAAGATATTATCTAGCTCCTTTTTTGAAAGACTCTGCTCCAAACATGACAACTTCTATCAAGTCAGAATCTAATAGCAGAAAATGTAAAGCCATCCATGTTTGTGTGTAAATCAAAAGTCTGTAGTCCACCTAACTGAATGGATTGATCAGGATTTGTGGATAGATATAGCTGAGTCTCATCAGCATAACAGTGGGAATAAATGATAATTACTGTTGTAAGGGCCTTGAGGAAAGCAATTTGTCAAATGGACATGTTTCTTAAATAGATGTCAGGCAAAGCTTTCTTAAGGAAGGCTGTGGGTAAAATATCAAAACCGTGGTAAGAAGAGCTTAGTTGGTGTCCATTCTCTTCTAAGTTTCACTGCACTTCTCTTGTGCCAGTGCACAAAATATCAAACCACTGTTGAAAAAGCTCAATTATGTTGAAATTGCAGAGCTATAGGCCAATCTCAAACCTTCCTTCATTAGTACTGTTATTTTAAGAGCTTTGTTTCAAGAGTTAAACACCTTCCTAACAATGACCAGCCTCTTCAACATCTTCCACTCAGGCTTCCACACTCACCAGAGTCAGACGGCCCTGATCAAGGTGTTCAGTGACATTCATATAAATGCAGACAGTGGCAGAACCACAGGGCTGGGATAATTGCACTTTAGTTCAGCATTTGACTTTGTTGATCACACCATTTTATTAGAGTGTCAAGAAAACTGGTACAGCTATGGACCAGTTTAAATCCTACTTAAAGGTCAAAGCCCCCTTAGTTGTACTTGGAAACTTTGCATCAGAGGAGTTTAACCATTAGTACTGGCCAGTGATATCACATGTTTAATTAAAATAAAAGAACCTGGAAAATCCCTTGAATCTCAGATGATTTGAGCAAATACTTTATATCAATGGATTGTGTCTGATTCAAAACTAATTGAAAATGTATACAAATGTTGGCGTGAAGTGGCGGCATAGTGGTTAGGGCATAGGCCTTTGAATCCTGGGATTGTGAGTTCCATTCCCCACTCCCACAGACTGCCAATCTGGGTCCCTGAGCAAGACCCTCAAGGCGCCTCACAATGGCAGCCCACTGCTCCCTAAGGGGATGGGTTAAATGCGGAGAAGTAATTTCCCACTGGGATTATTAGAGTATATAAAATAAAAAATCTAATCAAAATCTAAATAAAGGTCTCTGTGCTAAATGAGCTACCTAGAAAGCGCCCTGCATAATCTTCCTACCTCCTTACAGCCAGCACTATTCGGATAACACTTAAAATGGCTGATGCTGTCGCTTTTGTCTCTTTCCTGTTTTGCCCTATGTGGAATCAGTCAGTCTCCAAAAAAGGCCTATTCACAAATTCAAGACTGTGGGAGATTCTGCAGTGTCTTAGTCCCACCACTTGATGGCACTGTTGTGTTTTTTTTCCTTCTATTGTAAAGCTTGGAGGCTTAAGTCTTTTTGTGGATAATGGAAAAAAAGATGTGTACTATGGCTCAATGAAATGTGCTTTTATTTGGTTCTGGAAAAGTTAAGTTACAAAAAAAAAAAAATGTGGAGTCTTTTCTGTTGTTTCCTTTGAACTAATTGTGTGAAAATGGAAGGTTGGAAAGGATGAATGCTTGTAACATTCATTATTTTGTTTTCATTGTTGCTGTTTCAAGGAATATATATATACAAATATATATATATATATATATATATATATATATATATATATATATATATATATATATATATATATATATACAAATATATATATATATATATATATATAAATATATATATATATATATATATATATATATATATATATATATATATATATATATATATATATATATATATATATATATATATATATATATAGGCATTTGTATACATAATGCAAAAAGACTGATAGTTTTGATTTAGTTAGTTGGAAATTGAATCAAATATAGTAATCACTATTCCCACTATTTCATTTGAAAGGAACAAAATGCTTTGATAAATAAACACTTTAAAAAAATTAACTTCACTTCACTGGCAGATTAAAACGGATTAATTCTATGCAGCCAATATGTTTTTCTGAAAACAATGATGCAGTATTTTAACACTTATTATGAGTTTCAACGATTTTGTAAAAAATATAATAATAACAATAATAATAATAATATATCTAGTAAAAAATATAATAACGTATGTTATCACCTGTATTCATCTTGATCTGATTTAAAAAGATACACAGAACATACACAGATACACAGATACACAGAACATTAAAGAATGAATTTCCACTACTATATAACTTTGAGCTAGCCTACTATAGGCTAGCTCAAAGTTTAAAGTTTTATTTTCTCAGTTCAATTACTAGAAATGATTACTTTTCAAAATTGTTAATTAAAGTCATTGGAATGTGAAAGTTTCTTATAAAAATATATGTGAATGCCAAATATCGAGTCATATAAGGAATTTTCCGGCATTCGTTGTTGTTTTCCTGCATAACAACTAAACGAACAGCATAAAAGTGCAAAGTATTTTTTATGTGGTGTGTGGAAGGTGGACTTAAATGCAAGAAGGCTATAAAGCAAAACAAGGACCACTCCTTTATATCATGCTTTGGGGCTCCATTACAGGTGGATTTTTCTACAATAGGCAAATAGCTGAAAAAAATAACTAAAGAACACTTTAGTTAAGGTTTATGGAATCAAATGAGGGTACAATAAGACTTCACATGATGTGTTTCTCAGGTCATTAATAAGGGGTAATTATTTGGTCTGACAGAATATGAAAAATGAACTCTGAAAACAGCAAAAAAAAAAAAAAAAGTAATAAAGGCTGTAAATATAGGTGGGGGATGTGGAGTCAACAAGTCATCAGTCACGTGTTTATTCAGCCCAGCAACTGAATCAGGTGCCACCAAAATTGGACGCACCTGGTCCAGTGACTGGGCAGAACAAACAAATGGCATGGAGGTGATTTGTTGACTCTACATCTCCCACCTCTGGCTGTAAGTGATATTAACAGAAATTATTTAACTGTGACTGCTACACATGAAGCCATCTAAGGAGGCTCTGAGTTGTCCAAATATTCAACACAGCCGTTTCAGACCTAAGAAAACACATTACTAAATAAGTGTTTGGTTATTATGCAACCAACAGTAAAAAAAGGGGGTAACCCTCACAATAAAATAAACTTTAGATGTTGGCCTCTTTAAGACATGGGAAACGCCTCTAGAGATCAGTGGACAGCAACTCAATTTAGTTGTCTCATAAATATTTTGTGAGCAATAAAGGAATCATCCAGAGGCCCCAGTTTAAAAAGGAGTGACAGATAATTATTGCACGCCTTTTATTTTTTTCTTAAACGCTTCAGTGTGTCTCGTTGATAAAACAACTCAGGATGATTGCTGTATGTCATGTTTTATGTGCTCAGCTATTAGAAAACCTCGGAGCAGTTTGAGTGATGGTGCCACAGGCCGCTGCTTGGGGGAGAGGGGGCTGCTGGAGTTTCCTTGTAACCGGAATTAGCTGTGAAGTGCGACCTTGAGGTGTGAACGGAATCCCAAACGAGAAAAAAAGTCTCTGGTACTTTGCACCTCGTTTGCAAGTGAATATCTTAACAAATAATTCCAGGGTTTATGTGTGAAGCGTGGTCACACTTCCACAGGAAATTTAAATACTGCTTTTTAAAATATAAATTCAGAGAAATCAACATTTGAATATTAGCCAGAGTCGATGCATTTTATATGATTTGCAGAGAAAGTAAATTATTTTAACAAGCCATTTATTGTAAAAGTTATTATGTGCGTAATTACGCACAGGCCGTCTTGTTTGCGTGTGGACGTGCAGCCCGGATTTATTGACCGTGTGTGCAGCTGATAGGTCCTGCTGATAATTTATTCATGGGGCAGAGAAGCCGTGCTCGGGATAGGCCCAATGCCGGATGATGACGCGTTGCAGGACGGACGCAAGGGACAGCTGGGCCTGCACCACCAGTCACTCTCATTTAGATGCAAATCTGCAAGGATCCAAGAGTTGACTGACGTCAGGCAGGCCTCAGAGTGCCTTTAGCTCCGTGTCATCTGCACACATCATGTAAAGCTGGAGACGATCGGCATTTTAAATCGGTAACCCGTTTGGACTATAAAGAGCGCAGGGATCAAGATTGTCAGTTGGCAGGGCCAAAATGTTGCCTTGAGATTGGCTGCATTTACCCTTTGCTGCTAAAACAACTTTTCAAACTTTTTTTTTTCTGCAAAACATGTACGTGGGATACTTACTGGATAAAGAAAGCGGGATGTATCATCAAGGGCCAGTAAGAAGATCGAGCATCAATCTTCCTCCACAGAACTTTGTTTCGTCTCCACAGTACCCCGACTTTACTGGATACCATCATGTGCCAAACATGGAAACGCACGCACAACCTGGGGCCAGTTGGGGACCTTCATATGGCGCCCCAAGAGAGGACTGGGGTTCATACAGTCTTGGACCCCCTAACAATCTCCCTCCCCCCATGAACAACACATCTAATGGACAAGTTCCTTACTGTTCTCCCGAGTATAGTCACATGCACCCTCCCGGATCTGCGGTGCTGCAGCAGCCGCCGGACAACGTTACAGTTGCACAGATTTCTCCTGAGAGAGAAAGGCGCAATTCATACCAATGGATGAGCAAAACCGCTCAATCGTCTTCTACAGGTGAGAGCTTCATGCTGGACAAACCAGGCTTTGATAGAGTTGGTGGACAAGACTTCATTTAGAGCTTCTGTCACTTTATTCTGGATGTTGCGCCGACGCATGCCGACTTCCAACGCTTTATTAGTCCGATATATATATCTATATGGTTGGTATTTACAGGATATATTCACAGTGGTAAATGGGAAGATTGTTTTAAAAACACCGATCTGCGCTGTGCTGCTTGCTGCTGTGGGTGGAAATGAATGAAAAAATAATGGAGTGAGGAATCGGCGCCTTGCCTGCTTGTAATGTTAATGTCAGTTTTCCTGGAGATGTGAGCTCAGCTCCTCAGTTACATTGTTTGCAGCTTCCAGTGCTGCCAGTCAGACACAGGCTGCGGTCTGTGCGCTCATCACCTCCCTTTACTTTGATATGCGCCAGCCCAGCCTCCTTTTCACTGCCCGGAAAGACTCCTTTTTAGGACTCTGTTGAAAGCGTTTTTATTTTTCCTAAATTAATCTAAAATTTAAACTACTATTTATTACTGGAGTTTTCCCTTTTCCCGCATTTTGAGTAAAATTTTCTTACATTAAACAATTTTAGTATCAAAAGAACATTTAATAAAAAGTATATTTTTAATTCGTTTGAATATCACTTTTTCAACCTTTTTAATCTAAAACACGTGGAGAGAATTTACCCCAAAAAAAGGAAGATCAAAAGTAGTGCTATTGAGAAGATGTGGATTTCAACTAAGATGTGGTGCTCAGATAGGCCAGGCTGGTCCAGACAAGCAGGCCCGCTCCTACTGTCTGCAGACACAATGCCTTCTTCCCCTCAGTTTGTGTATTTGTCCTGTTTTCAGGTAAAACAAGAACGAAGGAGAAATACAGGGTAGTCTACACAGACCATCAGAGGCTGGAGCTGGAGAAGGAGTTTCATTTCAACAGATACATCACCATCAGGAGGAAATCTGAACTGGCTGTCAACTTGGGTCTGTCTGAAAGACAGGTATGGATGGAAATGCCTTCATGCGCCATGTGGATCAATTCAGATCCAGCATTAAATGATAAAGGTTTTAGCTTTTAAAAATATCAATACAGACTGTAATGTCAAAATTATATATAAATATTTTTTATAGCGCTTTTGTAATTAAGGGCACAAAAATGTGTTATTATGCAATTGTTTCTTGAGCTTTATTTTTCTGTTCAACTAAGTGCCCACAATTTATTTGCCAGTTCAATTATGTCAACGGTATTATTATGAGTAGGATTTTTAATAAATTGAGTGGAAATAATAAAAAAGCTGCATTAATGAAATATAAATAGCCTATATAAATAGAGGATAAGAAAAAAAATATTAGCATTCGATTCAGCAAATTCAGTTTATTTTTTTCTAAAACAAATAGTTAATAGAATATGCCAAACCTTCCTATTCTTGAAATAATAAGAATAATCTATTGGCTGTGTAGTTTCAAAGCAAACATTTAAAATATTTATGATGTGTTTAACAGTGTTTTATTTGTTAAAATCAAATCAAATATAGTCTTTCCAAAAATGCTTATTTGCTGAGTTGTTATCCTTTTAGAAGAAGATTTAGAACATTTAGAAGTACATGCACATTTAATATGTCTACCTATTTCTTTTAATTGTTTTTTCTAAATGTGCTTTGAGCATAACGAAATAGTCTCTCTAAAATCTTTTTTTTCTTTTTTGGCGAATGTGCCACGTGGTTTGTGATGGATTTGAAATTATTATTCTCACAATTTTTGCTTTATAAAAACTTTTTGAAGGGGATAATAAAAAATAACTAATTCCTTTACGTTTTAAACAAAGTAAAAGCTCAAATGTAAAAAAAAAAAAAAACAAAAAAAAAAAAAAACGAAAAACGGTATTTAGTTAAGAAATTTAAAATTGGAAAATAATAGGTCTTTGCAAGTAAAAAAGGGAGCTGGGCCTCCGATTATATTATATTATATTATATTATATTATATTATATTATATTATATTATATTATATTATATTATATTATATTATATTATATTATATTATATTATATTATATTATATTATATTATATACAGAATGTAATTGTTTGTACTCTTCTTTAGGTGAAAATCTGGTTTCAGAACCGCAGAGCCAAAGAGAGGAAGCTGATAAAGAAGAAGCTGGGTCAGTCTGACGGCAGCAGCGGGTCTGTTCACAGTGACCCGGGTTCGGTGAGCCCTTTGCCGGTACCGGGCTCCCTCAGTCCCACAGAGATCCACGGTTCTCTGTACCCTCCCCAGGGAATGAGCACATTGCCGTCTATCAGGAATATCCAGCAGGTGACTGTGACTCAGTAAAGCATGTGGACCATCTGATCTGATCTCTCCAAACTGAGCACTCCAACACCCTGAAGGACAGCAGAAGGATCTGAACACTGCGGACAAGCGTCTGGGTTTTCTAAAGATATGCCGGAGGCTCTTGAAATATTATTTTTAATAGAATAGTTCTAATGAAGCCGTGATTTTTAAAAAAGAAGAAAAAAATAAACTTTTAACCTTTTAAAAAAAATAAAATCCTTGTTTGTGAGGTTATAAGGTACAAATATGGTGCTTTGTAGGTGTTTGACGAATGTATGTGTTTATTGATGATTTTGAGCAGAAAATGGCCATTCCAGTGACGCTGGAGAAACCCATGGGTTTACCTGACAAATCATTTTTCACTTGTTTGAAGCGCAATGCGGTGCACACAGGGCAGCTGGGAACGATGCGGGTATATTGCCGACTTTGTAAATGTTAAATAAAGTGTTTGTTTTTCTACTAAATTTGTAGCTTCTATTTTGATTTTTTTTTCTTCTTCTAAATACCGCAGTAATTGGAGCTAAAAACGTAACTGATAGAAATGAACTTCCATTTCACATTTACATGTTTGGGGTTAAAAAGGCTGCTTTTACAAACAGAGGCTCATTTTATTAGGTTTCCAAAAAATACGTGTCTAACCAGGAAATATATATAGCCTATGTATATATATATATATATATATATATATATATATATATATATATATATATATATATATATATATATATATATATATATATATATATATATATATATATATATATATATATATATATATATATATATATATATATATATATATATATATATATATATATATATATATCGACCCCTGGACAATTTATTATAACAATTTGAACAATTTGTTATATTTTTATTATTTTGTATTTTTCAGTCAGCTGTGATTGAGTAATTCTAGAGGGAAGAGGGAAGATGGCGCTTTGATTTGAGGCGACCCGTACACTATTTTCCAAATTGACATGTTAACTGCAGCTTGTTATTTTAGAAGGAAGTTGACCTATAGCCTTTGTCCATGTAGGATTTTAATGGCTTAATTTATTAGCCCATGTCTGAGTGGAGGACTTCCGTATGTCAAGGCTCCAACAGATGCATCCACTGCGTGTCTGTCACCCGGTACGGCAAACACTTTCAACTCCTGTAAATCCTCGCGCGGTGGAGCGATAAACTTCCAGAGGCAGTATGTGTATGGCAGGCTATTTAACCATTTTATCGAACCACACGCAGCTAAAATAAATAAATGTACTTTTCCGCGGCTGATTTTTAGATTTTTGGAGTTCTCCTTCCTGAAAAAATATGCAAGGGTTTTTGTCATCTACTTAATCATATTTAGTTAACACATTAGTTTCATGTTTGCAGAATGGGTTATGACAAAAATGCTACTCATTAAATATAGGCGTACTTAATTGGATGCCAAAAACGGTTGTATTACTTTTTCAGTGTACCTAACCAGACTTATCAGGTTCAATCTAGTCGGCTCTTTAACTTCAGCAGTCTGGACTGCAGCAAACTATCTCTTAACTAGGCGCTTAGTCAAAGCAAGCCTATGTATTTGCTTGAAAAAAACATCCAGGCTGATCTAGGGTTTGCTTGTTTTATTTCAGCAGGCCTACTGGGAAAGTCTATTGATATTTTTTAAGATTGGTTAATCAACAAGCTCTTGTTTCTCCTGGCAGTAAAGCTGTATTTTTTTAATGGAACAGTTTATTTCAGCTTATTTCTCACATTTTCCTAGTGTCCCATTAACAGTTGAGGTAACTACATGTTGATGTCATTCTCCCAATGACAAATAAACTTAAAACAATTGAATACTAAAAGTAAAACCCTTTTTTAAATGATCCAAAATTAGAGCATCACTGGTGATATGTGAAAGATAAGGACATTTCTGATTAAAATTATGAAACATAGGTTTATCTAGTGATCCTTTTCAGATATACACTTCTCTATATATTTCACACACACACACACACACACACATATATATATATATATATATATATATATATATATATATATATATATATATATATATATATATATATATATATATATATATATATATATATATATATATATATATATATATATGTGTGTGTGTGAAATATATAGAGAAGTGTATGTCCCCACTGTGTGCAAAACTCAGTGCAGTCCCAGAATACCCAGAATTCTAGATTTCTGTATAGGCAAAAAGAAAATATGCATCACTCCAAATTTGTATTTTTTTTGTATTTTAAGACTGTTTTATTTTCAAAAACTATTTAAATGTGGCTCCACGGTGTTGCAGCTTGTATGAATTTTGCCCTGCAGTGAGAAGGTCTTGGGTTTAAATCTCTCTTATTGGAGTTTTTGCTGTCTTCTCTGAATCTGTTGAGTTTTCTTCTGTTATTGCAGCTTCCTTTCACAGCCCCCTCCCATATGGCTGCTGGTTAATTGGTCTCCCTAAGAGAGGAGAGTGTCATTTATTGAAAATAAGACAAAAAAGAAAGGTATTCTGTCTTTGATTCCCGAATACAAAAGCAAGGCCTCCTGTAATTTTCCATCATTGCCAAAGTTGGACGCAGGTTTATTTCCAAGTCTGAGGGTCATAGGACATCAGATCACAGATCAAGGCTGGCAATGAGGGTCTATTGTTGAGGCCATTCCTTCATTGGTTTAAAACAGTTGTCTTATAAAGGACTTCTTCCAGAAAATTGCACTTTTGATCCATACTGCATGCTCTCCTCATTTATCACCACATAGAGAAGCTTTCTCACTATCCTACTTGAAAAATGTACTTTTACATAAACCCCTCAAGTTTGTTATCAAGCTGCCTACTTTTTAATGGAGAGTTTTGCTGCTCTATCTGTTGTCTCATATTTTTATGTCCTATTTCAAAGCTCTACTTACATCCATATTATGATTAAGCAATGCAAAAACCTTCTTCTGTACTTAGTCTAAAAATTGGATTTGGAGTTGATTAATTCCACTACAATTTAAAATTACTGCATGGATGCTAAAAGACTTTAACAGAGGGGTTTCTTTACCTAGTTTTGGATGTTAATGGCTATAAGTGTAAAGCAAAAATCACATATGTAGACAACAATCATTTTGATCCTGTTTTGGAGATAATATTCTAAGCAAGAGTAGAATCTGCTCACCAGTAAGTGCAATTACCTGCCAGCCCAGTCAGACGATCGCACTCTATAAGACTTTTAGTTTTGGTTATACATCATGATTTTCAAAAGTCCTACCAAAAGTCAGTGACAGAACTTAAACAAATCCAGGCTTCAGAAGGATTTACCTGTTTATGGTTGGTGGATCTATGTTGGTGTTTGGTTGTGCTTCTTTCGCATGAGGAATAATGTCCATCTAAAGTTTTGGAGTGATCTGCTTTAAAAGACATGTGGGTGGTTCTAGACAGGGGAAATGGTACTGGCCCCATATTAAGGCCACTGTGCTAAAGACATAATATTAAATAAGTGTTTTATTATGATAGGAAACCATTACTGCCTTGGACCCAATTCATTATTTCTTTATTTTTTTCTCTTTATGGAATCAGTTTCATAATCATAGACAAATCTAAGTTTCACTTTTAGCATCTGTCATATTCAGAGGGGCCTAAGTTATTATCATCTAAAATCTAAATCATAGGTGTCCAAAGGTGCAGGTGGCTCTTTGGCTCACTTAATACATCAAACAAACAATTAATTATTTCCCTGTGTCGTTTATGCTTATTTCGTCGTTGTTGTTGTTTTTTTCATTACTTTCTGTAGAACCCCCATAAAAAACAAACCTGAACGCCCCTCGGTACAGTTTGTTTCACTGACTATTAGATTATAAAAGGTCTTGCCATACAGCTTCCAGCGCTTGTAAATCTGAACGCAGCGGGGCGATGATGAGCGTCTTACTACCCAACATGGCGGACTTTGATACCATTTATGAGTTAGAAGACGAAGAGGATGAGCACGTAGTGAGCGAGGAGCATTTGCCAAGATACTGTCCGGAGCCTGTGATCATGCGAGGGGCCGGGCACATCACTGTGTAAGCAGAGCTCTCTTTTTCTCCCTTTTCTTTTTGTTTAAGGGCTCGCTTTATTTCCACAGAGCCTTCCTAGCAGAGGCTAGCCCGCTGCTGCTAGCAGAAGCTAACGTCAAAAACACAACAAAAACAGTTGAACATATGTTATGTTACGGAGCTAGCTGGTCTGAGCAGCAACCACCCAAAGTAACTGCTATTTATCACCATGGCAACCGTTACCTGGACGGCCAGTTGGTATTCAAGTTAGCTGTGTTTACATGTGATTAACCGTTCGCTACAGGTCTTATCTCCGAGCAGTCTAAACCTTTTGAATTGACATTATTAGTTTAGCTCAGTCTAACGGTTAATCTCTCTAAATTTAACAGAGTTTAATGAACAGTTATGGAGGCTTACACTTCAAAAACGTCGATTAAGTGATTCTTAGGCTTAGTTTAGCATCCTGTCATTATTTTCAGATGCCTTCTAGTTTTCATTTTGCATCATTTACCAATTCCTTGTCACTTTATTCATCTTGTCAGGAGATGTAGACAGCTCTTTTGTCAAAACATCCCTATACAATTTCTTTATTTAATTCACATTCTATACCTAACTCTATGTTTGCTGTATGTCTATCTTTAGGATCTTACCATTAAAGCAAATTCCTGAGACATCTAACTAGATGACCACAATTCAAGCACTAGTAGTCCTAAATATACATAAATCTGTTAAAAAAATCTTTTAAAATAACAATGGTGGGTGAAAGAAAATCAATATATTTCAGTTAATGTAACAGGTGGAAATGAATGTGTGTTTTCCTGTGTATTGTTAGATTGTTATTGTCAGGACTGGTCATGGGCTGGTATCAGATTGATATGATTAAATTAATCAAAACAAGCCAGTATTAGGAAAACAACTTAGTCCTATTTCTTCTAAAGGTGTCAAATACTGCTATTTAAGGTTTAATAATGTTTAGGAAATTCAGATTTTATCAGGTATTTTAACACAGACTGTTGGTAAAAACAACAACAACAACAACAAAAAAACTCATGTCGGGCAAGCTTAGTATTGCATAGTGCACTGAGTATTTTATTTCCTTATATATCAACATAAAAAACAACATAAATGTAGTTTCTTAGATCACGGCTGCAGTTTTAGATTATTTTAGTAATAGATTTATTCATTGTTTTTTTTGTTTATTTTTTTTGACTAGTGCATCAATCTGAATAGAAATATCCATCCATCCATTATCCGACACGCTTGTCCCAAGTGGGGTCGCGAGGGGTTGAATAGAAATACTTAACACTTAACATCAATTTAATATGACTGGCAGAAACATGTAAAATTATTTATATATATATATATATATATATATATATATATATATATATATATATATATATATATATATATATATATATATATATATATAATCTTTTTCACATGTTGATAATTTAAAAAACAAATGCTTTCAGCTTGATGTTTATTTAAAGCATTAGTTCATCATGATTAATCCAATTGATAATTTCTGTCCTATAATATATATGTAATATTTCCAAGTGTTTCAGAGTTTCTGTCTTGCAAGCAAAGGCAAAAGTGTAGCACCCTTATTTTAGCCAGCTGACTGGCAGTGCTCATGCTGCATACAGCTGAAACAAATCTACAGCCTTTTTCTAGCATCGAATTGAAACGATCTTAAACTAAAGGAGCAGACAGGTAGACAAGTTATTGAAAATAATAATTGTTTGTTAAAGTGAAATATTACAGCCTGCCTAATATTACATCCAAAATTGCGGTGAATTTTTCCAGTTTTTCTACAGCACTGATTTAATTTAAAATAGTATTTTGTCTGGACTGGAGTGTAATGCTTAATTTTTATTCCCTGAAGTTTTTATTTTAACTTCAGGGAATAGCAAGGTTATTACTATTAAATTATTCACTTTAAATAAAGAGGCTTAAATAATGTGCTGCTGACTGATTTGTTTGTAGACCCAAAATGGTGGGCGTTTTTAGGCTTGATGCATCAGATGAATAGGAAGAAAAATGTTTTTTAATTGCCATCAGAGCCGATCATGCTAAAACTGTTATTGATAGAAGCATCTCTAGTTTCACACGATGGCTGAATAATCTCTGCAAATTAGGTAAATAATAAGAGCAGTTAAAAAGCACTCCTATTTAGCTAATGAGGGAGAAATGTTTCCCGTTCTTAACTTTATTAATGTCTATCAGTCATTTTTGTCTCTGCAAAAATACACTTGTTGATTACATTCCTATTATATCCATCTTTTGAACTTTGTTTAAGGACATCTTCACTGCCATATAAAATTCTCTGGCTTTTTTATGTATTTTTTCCAGGTTTGGTTTAAGCAACAGATTCGACACAGAATTTCCCTCCATTCTCACCGGAAAGGTACAGTTTTTTGTTTGTTTTTTTCAAAGTTTTCCTGCTGTTGCATGGTGCTTTCTGTTGAGACCCAACAGGGAAGAAATAAGGAATTAACGCTGCAGTTTTGCTTTTGTTCTGCTGCGCCTTTAACACCCCTGACTTCCCCAGACTGCTCCATTCAAACTTCCCTAAGCGGGTTTGATCTGATGCAGATGCCTTGTAAGCAATGCAGCAGGCTGCATAGAAAAGAGGCTGAATGTGCTGCCGTCCAGCTCTGTAAATGAGTAAGCCATCCATTGGGGTCGGCTGGATTGGGGCATCCCTCTGCTTTATTTTGGCAGGGTCCAGCTACAGGTGATAAAATAATGAAATGAGGATTCTGCTATAGACAGTGCAGCTTCCTGGGTCGGACGCAGAAACACAAAAAGCCTGCTGGGGGATGAGCGGGCTGAGGGAAGTGTAGGGCCATAAAAAGCACCTTCAGTATTGTGACCCAGGGTGACATGTGATGGATGAGGTCACAATTATGATGATTGAAGGGTGCAGATCAGACCCTGCTGGGCTTTATTCTGACTTCTTTCGCTGTTTGTGAAGAGACCTTTGCATCCTGTCATAAAAGATTACGACCCCTGTTTTATGGCGTACAGACTCAGCGAGGAATGAGCATCCATTCAAGTTGTTTGGCCAGCGCTGCCACAGGCTCTGAGCTTATCTCTTCTTTGACTCTCTGCTTGCCTTGAACAGTCTGGAGCTCAGTTAGCAAGTCTGGGGTGTAGAATTTAAGAGATCCCATCTCTGGACAACATCTGCAAATATCTGCCCTTTTGGTTTTCTTCAGCTCTTTGATCCTTGTTCAACAACAATAAAGCTCCTTTAAGTCAATAGCACTGAGAAACACTTGCATTGTTCCCTCTTCCTTTTAGCCGTTCTTTCCCCATACATCCACTTCTTTTTGTTTTTTCAGGTAGCACCGGAGGAATTCAAAACCAGCATTGGCAGGGTGAACGCCTGCTTGAAGAAGAACCTGCCAGTAAATGTAAAGTGGCTTCTCTGCGGCTGCCTGTGTTGCTGCTGCACAGTAGGCTGCAGTCTGTGGCCCGTTATCTGCCTCAACAAGAGAGTAAGTCCGACTCTTTACATCAGCTGCGTTCATTCGGGGCCGTTGTGGCTCTGTGTGGAAGTGATGCTCTCTTTCCCTGCCCAAGGTGGCGTCAGTTGAAGGTTACGTTAGTGGCAACAGAGTGGAAATTACTAGCTGGTAAATTAGGAGTTCAGTCCATAAAACCCTAAAATTGGGGCTGTTTACCTCTACCTGTTGGAGCATTTGGTTGAGCTGTGATTAATGTTGTTTAAAACGCTTTCTTTTTTTATTTCCTTCCAAAGACGAGGCGGTCCATTCAGAAGCTGTTAGAGTGGGAAAATAACCGGTTATACCACAAGGTAAGAAAGTTGTCAAACTGTTAAATTTGCTGGTGTGTGAAGGTGCATAATTAGTTGGTGCAAGTGTGCGAGCTGAGCATCGTCGTGATGGATAACGATCATTAATCTGTTCCGAGAACTCCGGCCTGCCACAGAGATCTAGAGGTCCGAGAGGGCCGTGAGGTCAGCAGTAAAAGGCTGCGTGTTAATTTTGTATTGTCTCACAGCAACAAATTACAGCTAGTAGCTGTGCAGAGATATAAAGGAAGCTCTTCAGGGTGTCTGGCCACAGCTTGACCCCCGCGAGACCAGACAGTCCTGCTCCTGAATTCCCCCGATGCTAAAGAGGAGAGATTTCAGACAGATTTCCCTCTTTCTTTCTTTCTTTCTTTCTTTCTTTGTGTGTGGCTGGGGGATGTATGATTGTCTTTGTTTTTGTTCCAGAGCAACTGAGATGTTCAACCATTGTTTTCATCTTCTCTGCTTTCTTCAGTTAGAGCTGCACTGGAAGCTCAGCAAGAGAAAATGTGAAAGCAGCAACATGATGGAATATGTGAGTACCCTGCAGCAACAACAGAGATTTATAATGTTTTGACTTAGATTAGCTGACAAGATTCTGAAGACGCAAAAAGATGTGAGTCTAATAAGATGGTGGACATAGAAATAGTAAGTCTGTATCAGTTCTCTTGGTTGTTCAGATTTCCAATTCGTTGTATACTGATTATACTTACTGCTTGCAACTCCACAAACATTGCATTCACTCAGTCATTATCTTGAATGTAAAATTAATCTGAAATAATCTGGAAAAAAGAAGAACTTGCCCGTTTATTAAACTCTTATAATGATGCTGATCTTCAAAACCCCCTGCTATTGTTAATAAATGGTTCCCTTAAGTATAAATTTAATTCTGATTAGTTTTTTTGTTTTTTACGCCGTTCGTCCTTCAATTCTGGAAAAAGAAGCAACACAGAGCTTGCTGGGCATAGCATGCAGATGTTATTCGCAATCCTCCAGCAATGTTAGTAGATGGGTAGAGCTGAAAACTGTCCTGGAGAAAAGTGTGTTAGCAGGATATTCTCTAACATACAACCAGAGCTACAAAGGAATGGTTTAGATCAAAGTATAGTAACGTGTCAGAGTGGCCTAGTCAAAGTATTTACTTCAAATTCACTTTTTTTCTTTTACAGTCGAGATGAGCGACATTGTCCAAATTTTAGCTGTGAAAAGTATTTCCTTTTTGGGGCTAAACACCTCTGTTTGCAAACATCATCATTTTCCTTCCACTTTGATTAATCCGATTAATTGTTTCAGCCTTAATCAACACCCAGAGTTCTTCACATTTTCTGAAACATCAACCTATCTTACTAAGATTTTATATACTAGCTAAAAGAAAAAAGAAGGATTTGCAATTATTAAAATAATAGTCTACTAATTTAGTAATGGATAAACTGTTAACTGGTATAGAGGCTCTAAAACATGCCTTAGCTGACAGAGCGACCCACTTAGAGGAGTAATTATACCAAAATTGTAAAAAGAAAATGTTAACATTTTGAATTTAAGATAAAAAAACAACAACAACATTTCCATCTGTCAAAATGCTCTATCCAGAACTCCATAAGTGAAAACGTTTTGGTTACACCTGGTTTCATTTCATAGAAAGTCTTCTTTAAGGAACCTTTGATTATTAGATTGTTAATCGATTAATCAAAAACAATCAACTGATTCATTGATTTGCAAAATAATTGTTAGGTGCAGCCCTAGTGTTGATATTCCTTCATAGTACTTTGACTTTTTAAATTTAATTTCTCCCAAAAAATATTATTGTTAATGCCAACTAAACAAAAGTCAAATGATAAAACATTGTTATTATGAGGTCATCATAAATGGTACGTATCTGCCTCACAAAGATGGCTGGTGGCTTTTGGTTTTACCACCGCAGGTTATCATTTGATTTCTAACAATGCAGTAAATGTTGCTTTTAATGATAAAGTAGCCTTAACATATTTACTGCTTCTTTACTGCAGATTTAAGGTTTGTGCAGCTTCACCTGATTTCTGTTTTCCTGTCTTGTCTCTGCAGGTGATTCTTATAGAATTCCTACCTAAATACCCCATACTCCGACCGGACTGAGCAGACTGTTACCAGACCGGATGGATGGCCCGAGTCTCATCCTTAGTGCCTTGTGTGTATATATGTGTGTATGTATGAATGCTAATATATATATATATATATACACACACACAGTATGTTGGAAAAAGGGTCTTTGTTTTCGTCTTTTGTGACGACCCCGTACATCTCCCAGTACCTTGAATAGAACAGCATCTGCAACACTGTCACTTTGGTTTAGAGCAGATTTTGCACATGTTATCCTTTTTTTTGTTGTTGTTATTGTTGCACTCTGATTTTTTTTTTTTGTTATAAAAAGTAAAAGTCTTTTGAAAAGTGCATTTACCCCAAAGAACCGTCAACCTGCATCTGGTGAAGAAGTAATCACTAGCAGAAGAATGTGATGCCTTCCTCCTTCCGTGATGATCCTTGCCTTATGGATGGTTTAAAAAAAAAAAAAAAAAGGATGCATATACGTATATATACTAGATGTAAAATGGAACAGGAAGGATGTGGGGTATCCAACAAGTGTCTAACGCACAGCGTTTGTCCCCCCTCTGTCGTCTCTCTCTTTATATTAACTCTTTATACCTGGGATTTAGCTAGTACAAGATCTTGACGTGTAAATACCATGGTAGAATAAGCTGTACAGTGGTTTACCATTGTTTACATAAAGTTTACTTAGTTGTTTAGATTTTTTTTGCCAATATATTGCTGTACCATAGTTTTTATTAATGAAAGATGTCTACGTACTAGTTCATATGGACCTGTTTACCTTGTAAGCCATATATAGTTACATGTATCTGATGCCAGAGCTGAGACTGATTATTGCACTTGAGCCCAGAGGAGAATGATGATTTTTAACCCTTAATATTCAAACATGCTGTACGTCGGTTGGTGTTTTCTTGCCAATGAGTGATAATCCAGTATATATTTTTTAATATTTCAACTATTAGCGTTATTTTTGTAGTTTTGTATTCGTCTGTGCCGTGTTGGGGTCACTTAGGAAGCACTTCAGAACATGTTGAAGAAAAGCCTCATTTCAAAAGCTTCATTTTAGTCACCATCTTGTGCAAAAGTGTTATTTTTCATAATTTCAGTCCAAACATTGCATTTTTATTAGAGTGCCTCTGGATTAATACAGAGCTCAGATGTTTCAGGTTGAATCTGTTATGTACGAAGGAGGCTTGGAGTCCTCCTCCCGGTGTTGTTACAGTTCTTGTAAATGTTTGTCACCATGACCTAACTCCTCCGAACAGAGAAAATAAATAGTTGATTTTCATCTTTTCTTTTCATGCTCTGACTCCCTAATTCTCATCATGTCTGACCTTGCCTAATGTTGTGCGACCGCAGACGTTCGGCTTACAAGCAAAGCTGTGGCACTCTGTCATGTTTAACAAGGTGCTGAATCGTTAACTTTAACAAGATGGGGTGCAATTACTTGACACATTTGTTAAACTTAGGAATGCTATTACCATAACCTGCTGCTACTTCCTAATGTTATAGGCCAGTGCTTGCAGAGGTGGGAACAAGCTTTGCCTTGTTTCTACCATATCTCGCTTAAAAAAAAAAAAAAAAAAAACTTGCACTGCTGCCATTTTATGGTAATTTGTTTCTGCCTTTGGTTGTAACTCAAGTTTTTTCTAGTTTTTAGTTATGAAAAAGAATGCTACGCTTTATCACAATTGTTAAAATTGTATAAAAACCATTAAAATTGTTTACTCTTGTAATCTTGCACTAATAGAAGAATGGAAAAAAATGTACAAACCTTTTACTTGAATAACTTTATTTAAACAGCTGAAAATACAATTAGGAAAGTGCATTTGTAAAATGTTTTAAACTTAGATTTGTTATTTTAGGAACTTCTGATTGATAATTTTTTGTTTTACTGAGGTATGAGTATGCAAACTATTTTAAAGGGAGGGGAAGGATTCAGCTGATTTCATCTCCACTCCAGCAAAAACAAATGCAAGTATAAGTTGTTTTTTTTTTTTTTTTTTTTAGCTCTACTGAAATGTGCTGGTGAAGATTCTCAGTCATCCAGGTCAAAGTCATTCCAAGAAAGAAAATGTTAAAACAATCCACAGGACATTGTTTCCAAGTTTTAAGTAATTTCGCTTCCCATCCAGGGAGCTTTTTCAATTCAAAATGTCAGGAATGGGTGTGCAGGTGGGGCAGTGCTTAGCGAGCACAACCCATGTACGGAGGCCTGACCTGGGTTCGAATCCTACCTGTGGTCTTTCGCCGCATGTCTCTCCCCCTCTCTCATACCCCCTTTCCATTCAGCCTACTGTCGAAAAAAGAAACCACTAGTACCAGGAAAATAAAAAAAATGTCAGTAATGCAGGAAAAAAAGTGCACGGTTTTATACAGTAGCCCATCAAAACCTTGTTTTTGTTTTGAAAACATGCAAATTAAAATGGACGAAGGGGTCCACCCCTTTGGAATGGGGTTCGTTTGGCTTCTTTTGTTAGCCTGCAATGCCCCATACTTGCCTAAGTGTCTTAAAGTGGGTCGCTCTACTGAAACTTTAAAATGCTTGTTCAGATGAGCTCTTCAGCAACATGCACTTTAGGTGGATTTGGTTTTACACAAACGAAGAATATATGGAAAAGGCCTCCATCACTCTGTTGCATAAGGTGGAGGATCTGTGGTGCTGTGGGCCAGCTTGTATTAAAAAACAGGGGAACCTTGTTCAAAATATATATATATATATATAAATATATCTTTATATTGGTGGTACCCGTGGTAATTGGGGAACTCGAGGTAGTAACCGTCAAAGTTCAGGAGTGGATACAGCAGATGCCTGGAAATGCATGACATCTCAGTCCAGAAAAGCGCAGTTCTAGGAACAGCAAACATACTGTGCAGAACCCTCAACCTCCCAGGTCTCTGGTAGAGGACCAGAGCTTTGAGGAAAAAAGGGGGAGACTGTCCACGGTGGGTGAGAAAGAGTTTGGGTTTTTTTTACTACAAGGTTTTCATGAAACACTGGATAAACTCCATCAGTTGTACTACAGATGGTTCTTTTATTTGTGAAGAGCAAAAACTTAAGTTTATTTTTACTTAAAAAACAACTGTGCACATCATGTATAAGGACTAAAATAATCATTTTAACATATGGACAGTTTTTTGACCACTAGGGGTCAGACTGTACAGTTTATTTGACATTGAACAACCCAAAGGACTCACCAATCAGATGTCCTGCATTTAAAGCATCAACATAGGAGCTTCAGGTGCTGGTAAGGAGCCTCTCATTTGCTTGAGGTGTGTTTAAACAGAATAACAAACAATTACAAGAAAGTGGCTCTTTAGACTGGAGTCAGGATACCCCAGCACAGGGGTCTCCCACCAGACTTGAATTAATTGATAATTGAGCAGGTAATGCAGTCATTGTATTCAGGGGGCAGAAACAGATGTAAAAAATGCAGGGAAGTGGGTCTAGGTACCAGGAGTTTTAGTGGCTTTAGCAAACGCTCCCTGCAGAACCCCAGATATAGAGCCTGAGCTGTAATCCAACAGTTTGAGGAAAACTGAATTTGTTTTAAACGGCTAAAGTCAAGAAACACATGACATTTCTGTTAACAGATGGTCCTCCATGCAGATGGTGTGTTTCTAGATAGGAAACCCAAAAGCACTGCAGAAATCTGGAGTTGCATCTATACGAACACTTCCTGGGCCTCCATAGCACAACACTTTTGAAAAATATTGATCATCTTCTGCTTCATTATCCAACTCCTGGATCCAGATATTTTTTTCTAGGCAAGAAGACATGACTTCCTGCAGTGATCTTTATTTTGAAATAAAGAATCTTTAAGTTCTTGACCACTACACAATCTAATGTTTTATTATCTAAATCAGATTAAATTTCTACTCCATATGGAATGAAACAGACCATAATATGATTGATATGATTTTATTGAACAAAATTAAACAGCATAGGATTATTTACACATTACTTGGTGTACATTCCAAAAAGCCACTTTGTTTTGAATCGAAAGGCCACTTTAAGTTTCTATAAACAAGATGTGGTAGAGAGACAGTTTAAGGCAGTTATATTCTGGCTTGTCCTTCAATACCTCCAAGGCACCCACTTCTGCAAGTCTGTCCAAATATACTAGTTAGACACAGGAAATAAATACAGTGCTAAAATAGGGGCTAAAATATTGGAAGAAAAAAAAGGGAATTAAAAAATAAAAATCTCAACAAGAATTGATGACCTTCATGGAAAAAAAAAATGTTGATGGTTTACAATAAGAGTCGTGAGCTTTTTCACTGTTATTGAATGTGAATAAAAAAAATTAAACTTAAAAAAAAAGGAATAAACCCAAATGTGGTGCCATCATCTGTGCATGTTTTGACTCAAGCAGCTTTAATTCTGCTTTGTTCTGTAACGCTACTGGCTCCTCTAAAGTGAACATTTAGTACTTAAAAACACTCCATCCCTTTAAACACTCACCTACAACCGTTTTGATTTGAAATATTTTGCATTATTTTCAAATGGGTCTTCATTTCAGACTTAATCACAAACTGTTGATTAATTTAGTATTAGTTTATAGTCAGGATTCTTTTTATTTTTAATATGCTAGAAACTGATGGTAGATAAAATAACAGAATTACTCTTTCCAAGTTTATACTGAATATAAATTTGATCATTTGTGCATCTTAGCATTAGATCCATTTTCTACATGAGTCCCAAACGGCTTTAACAGTTCGGACTGTCTCCATTATGTCAAATAAAGAATCAAGGACATTGGGTTGGATTAAACAAATGCAGCTTAACAGGGCTACTTGTGTGTGCTCATTTGAACTTCTTTTATTACACCAGACTCCCCGGCCAGGACACCACGGTCAGGGTGACTTTGTTCTTCTGCAGCTTGAGCATGGGGATGAGGGAGGAGTTGTTCATCCCCACGGTCGTAGCTCCATTCACCGCCACAATCTCGTCGCCACACCTGAAGAGAAACATCAGGTGTTAACATGGAGAATGGAAAAACACAGTGGTTTAGGGAAGCATTGTAAGGTGTAGCTTACTTGAGACGGCCGTCGAAATGGGCGGGTGTACCAGGCACGATAGTTTTAATGAAGAAAGGCTGCTGCCCATGGCTCTCCTCGTAGCCGCCGACGATGCTGAAGCCCCAGCTCTCGTTATTGGTTTTCTGTAGGACAATGTCTCTGCACCAGTGCATGTGGCTGAGAGACAAAGATTCAGAGTGCATTCTTTCAGGTAAAGACATTTTTTAAAAGCAGCGAAAATAGCCTGACAAACAGGAAAATACTGGTTGTGATTATGGGTCAGTGACTTTAAGAGGCAAAAAAACACAAGCCAAAAAAGATTAAATTATTTGTTATAAATTATTTAATCCAGATTAAACCTTATCTTAAAAAAAAAAAAAAAAAAAAACTCTGATCAAATCACAAAAATCAAAAAGCTAGATCAGAGTTTCTTAGAGTCCATTTTCATTTCCCCTTTTTTTGGTAAACATTTCATTTTTATAAAACTAATTTTAAAGGAAAAGTGGTCAGGATTCTGGAAAAAATGGCAGCAGTAAAACACTGAAGACTTTGATTGATAACCGGACATTTTAGTCCGTCCCTGTCCTATTCTCAATCTGTTTTATCAAAACAGATTGATAAAACAGATTGGTGGGGAGGGGGCCAGCGTTACCTTGGTAACCCCAGCCAGTGAGTCCACAGCGGCGTCCAGGTACGGGTCTCTTCTCGTTGGTCCTCCACATGGTCAAAGTCATCCCTGCTGCTAGTCTCTGTGTCCTCCTCGCCGCCTTCGGAGAGGGTCTGGATCACACGCAGCACCACCTGGGACTGAGCTGTCTGGGCCTTCAGAACAGAGACAGCCTCGCTGTAGGTCAGCTGGGTCAGATCGACTCCATTGATGCTCAGCAGAACATCACCTATGAAAGAACAGTTTCACATTTAATTTAAAGGTTTTCAGCAGGATTCTAATACAGAGGCCAGACCCTGTTTTTACAGGCTGCATTTTCCTGCATATTTGAACGTCCGGGCATTTTATTGTTCATATTTGCATTAATATAAATTAATGACACAGTTTCTTTAAATATGCCTTTATTCTAATCCTCAGTGAACCAAACCACACTGGTTCAGTAAAACACTCCAAAGTGCTCAAAGTGAACATCTGGACATCCTCACTCTGTCATTCAGCTCCAAATACCTTAATCAGCCGGTATTTGTAACGACTAATATTAAAGCAGGTTTTAACAATATATTCTTTATAATTATGTAGTATTAAGTCACAAAAAAATTAGGTAAAAGTAAAAATCCTTAGCCGATGGTCATGAGATTTAAATTTGTTTATATAAAACTACATAAACTTTAGTTAACTGAAAACATGTACATTTTACTTTTTCTCTATTTCAATCGGATTGATAGTGATAAGGCAGCTCCTCTTCAAAGAAGCTGGCCTCTTTTTTAGCTAACATCCTCTCTGTTTAACGGCCCTTAAGCCACACAATGTGTATCCATGAATAGAAGGAGTACAAAAAGACAGGATAGCCCTTTTCCTATTCAATCTATTGTCATTAATCCACAAAAGCTGTTCAAGGATCAGTCCAGAGCCAGCATCTTGTCTCCAAACAGGTTTTTGCATTTTGACAGCTAAACTACTGGCTCTTAGCCAACACAGAGCAAACCCTTTAAGATGGAGGTACAAACTGATGCATTGAAATGGTGAGGACAAACATGAACTAAGTAAAACACCAAACACTTTATGAAATATACAAATCAATTGGTGCTTTTCTATTAAAAATGTTTATTTTATGGAGTAAGAACTGACTAAGTGTAAACCCAAAGTTTATAATAGCAGGTGTTGACAAAGGGACCAAACAAACAACTGCAGCGACAGGTTCTTTGGACAGGCAGACAAATTGAACCATGAACTGAGCTATGTCAGTGAATACTGGATTTAGAAGCCCGTTTTTCTGTTGCAAATCAAATTCCAACTCTCTGAGTTTCATATTGATACTTAAAAGTCAGAGAACCACCTCAGGGTTAAAATCAAGCACAGGAGCAGCAGCAGGGCAAAAGTCAGTGAGCTTATTATTGAGCAATGCAGCAAGGTGACATTATGTGGGCATGAGTCATGATTCTGCTGATTATCTAAATAGAATATCTTTGGTGTTCTAAGGTAGACATCTTAAGATAAATAGTCCCATTCAGAAGAAAGTTAAAACTTTTAAATAATCGCTCCAAACATAGCGGCCGTGTCTGTGTGCACTCTGATTCCTAACAGCATTTATTAATCCAGGTTTCCATCTAACCCACTCGTTCTCTCAGAGAAGCTCGTTTAGATTTGAAAACCACTTCAGTTACCACAGTTAAACCGGATTTCTCTATGTCAATGTAAATTTCTTTGAAAAAATTTTTATTTTTTATTTTTATTAAAGTGTAGAAGCCTTTTTTTTGTACCTCTCTTGATGGTGCCGTCTCTGTGCAGACAGCCAACAGGCTGCACACTCGTGATGTAAACAGGCAGCCTGCTCCGACAATCCCTCCCCCCAGCTATGGTGATGCCCAGAGAGGTTCGAGGCTCCTTCTTTAAGCTCACTGTTTTCTCCTGACATGAAAAGCCACCTGGTGGGTCCTATAAAAGAAAAATTTTTTAATAAAACGGTTGCAAAAAAATGGGGGTAAAATTGCATATTAAACAATTGGACCTATTCAAGACACAGAGCTGCACAATTTATAACATTGTAATGCATTTTAATGAGAGGATTAAAAAAAAACTTTCAGATTCTCAGCAGGATCCTTTGACAAAGCGGATCCCTCTCAGAGGACCACTTGTAGAGACAAATGTGAAACATTTGAGACAGAGCTGAGAGGTAAAGGCTAGAAGCAATGTGTGAGGATCAACACTCCGCTCTTGTAGTGGAAAAGATGTGTGGAAAATGACGACTTCAACCAGCCTTCTCTTTGCTCCACAGTCTGTAAACTGTCAGAAGGGAAGCTTGGGGGAGGCGGGGGTTCTTCCTTCCCACAGCAGGGAACCCATCCCCCCCAGCAAGACGAAAAGATTTGACTCCACAGGTGAAAGCTAACTGTTACCAGCTTTGATCCTCTGGTCTTCCAAAGAAACAAGCAAAAAAACAACAAGCCTGCGGCCCCATGGCGGCAGAGTGAGCAGCACCCCTGGTCTTTTGATCAGGACAGAGGGAGGCCCCACAGAAGAGCTTTCATCTCCGCTCACCAACGCAGGTGTCTGCTCTTTAACCCCCTCCCAAACTGGAGGGACTGCTTTCCCTTTAACTTACTGTGTGCAGTATACCTAAACAAATCAAACCAAATAAAAAATAAAACTCTGAGGAGACAGAAAAATATAGGATCTTGTCTTAGAGCACCAATTATTCATACCTCATAATTACCACCAGCCTTCAAGTTATCTATCTGAGTTTTATACAAATAAAAACAAAGTGATGTATAATGTCAGAAAGTGATAATGATAGATGGGGTTCAAATGTTTTGCTGATTAAATAACGTCTAAAAAAATATGGCCTGCATTTATATATGGCACCATTTAATCGGTACTTTGTATCCGTACCCTTAGGCTGAAGCTGCAAGTCTGCCAGGTTTATAAGTCGAGAAATATAGTAAACAGCATTCTGTGAAATGGTCAAAGCTAAAATATTGTTTTATAACATAAATCCTATCCAAACTTCTCCCGAACTTAATTCCTGATATTTTGCTTGGTCTCCCTGATGCTCTGAGGCATTCACAGTTAAGCTGTATCCATATGGACAAAACTATTGGTAGCCCTTCTTCAATAAAAGAAAACCCCACAGATGTAAGGCCTGTTTCATGAGTTCATTTTCTATAATCGTTCAGTTGAAGCATGTTTGGAAAACAATGTCCGAGTCTCACTTGTATATAAACGATGAGTACCAACAATTTTGTCTACATGTGTACATTAAGATCAAATTACACATGGCTGGACTGTTTAGATGCATGGAAGCAAACTGGTTGTACTGGATTTCATTTACAGGTAACAGAATAAAGGGAGCTGAATGTAAAATCAAAGCATATAATTGTTCTAATTCACTAACATGCTATAATCCCTGTTGGTGTGCCACATACACTTCCCAAAAAAATACAGTTTGTGGTTATAATTTATTTGCACAATGCTGTATAGATTCATTTTAAACAGCAAGGAGGAGCTGTTTACCCATCAGATAATTGTGAGGGCAAATTACAGGAAAAAGGAAGACCAACTCAGACAACCCAGATGAGGTCAGATACATAGTTCTTTTATAAACACATGTTCATAAGGAGACCAGCTCGGTCGTATTCTTGTCTGTCGCAGGAGGAGCCCACCAGGGGGCAAATCTGAGAGCTCAGTTCAAACAGAGATGTCAGGGCGCTACATTTTTTTCATTCCAAAATTTGAATCTATATTGCCGTTTACATGATAAAAATTACTAAATGAGAAATGTGACAAAAGTCTCAATAAAAAAAAAAAGAAGCATTTAGTAAAAAAGCAAAAACAAAACAAAAGGTTAAACAAAACTTTAGCAATGGATGGAAAATAGAGGGAGTGGCAATGATTGCTTAATGCCCTAATGAGTCTGAATGCTGATACGAGAATAAAATGAAATGTTGTCCAGCTGTGGTAGGAGTCCATCTCCATTTGTTATCAAATTGTTTATTTAAGTAAAAAAAAAAAAAAGAGGCAGGACTTCAGTACCTAGGCTCTCCCATGGTGACAGGAAACCTATAGTTTTTTTCAAAATGGTTATTAAAAGGGTGGCTCGCTTGTATTAATATAAACCGATACAGCCAATTAAATATACATTGAATCTACTAGCAGACAAGTTTCTAGAAACATGCAGAAGTAATATATTTAAACAGAGAAGTGATGAACTGTCAGAGGTAGTCAGGCTGATAGCAAACAGAAACAACATAAAACAGTAGGGACAACAGATAAAAGAAACCTATGTTTAATATAACCTTTAAGTAGGTGGTCTGCCGTCTGAAGTACTGCGGCTCAGGGGCCCTTCTTACTCCTCTGCTGTGTTGGCCCTCTCTGCTGCTGCTTCCTCCTTCCTCTGGATTCTCTGCTGGCCTCATTACAGCAAAGTTCACACACTTTTCACTGTTCTAAAGACAGAACAAAAAGAAATATGTCTTTTAATGTTATCTAGTAGTTTAACATCTTAGTGAGATTTAAAAAAGGCTCAGAACATACTCCGGCTCCAACCTTTATGGTCATTGGAATGCCATGTTTTCCTAGCATTAATCTGCCCGGAGCATAACAAGTCTGTCTTTAGGAACATTAGAAGTAGGGTCTACTAGAGGGAAGGTTTTTTGTCCTTTTTACATGTTTTTATGTGTTTCTTATGCTAATGCATAGAGCTAAAAATGACTTCAAAACTTTCTCAATCATTTTTCCCCCTCATTTTCATGTTTCATCACCCTGGCCTTTGTTTTCCAATCGTACAGTAGTTGTATCATTGTTCTCATTAACTGAGCTCTAGGGTCTGATGTGAGCAGACAGATTATCATTCATATGATAGGATTATATTGCATTTTACACTTAACTTATGATATAATTATACTATAGATATAGGGCATTACTGAACACACACCCCTAAATACACACTATTAAGTGTAATTGGTATGTTCTTAGCAAAGTTTGATCCCCTGGTGTTAAAGTTGTACTTTCTAACTTTTCAGCATTGAATGATACACATTTACAGTTTGTTTACAATCACTTTCTCATTTGTTCTGCAGAGACTCTACAAATGATATCAAATGTAATTGCTGCGAGGGAATAGTTATAATTTCTTTAGTGATAAACTTTCCTGGCATTTCTTTTTGTGGAATCAGTAATGACAACCATGACTATAACAAAACAAATGACGATAAAAGCTTCTCAACCAATATTAACAAATAACTAATACTCTGTAAATATCTATATAATCTGACTAGTTTCTGGTTGGATACAATCTACAATGACAACATTGAATTTACTCTAATCAGTAGCAGGCTGTTCATAAAAACATGTTGTCCAGACAGTAATATCTTTAGATCTATACCTGTATGATGAGGGCAGCACTCTCAGGTGTACCATGCATGAGGTCATGCCCATTTATGGCCAAAACTTTATCATTATTCCTGAGTTTTCCATCTTTGGCTGCCAAACCGCCCGGCAAAAGGTCCAGGATAAAAACACCGCTTTCATCAGACTTCCGGATAAGTTTGATGCCGAGCGGCTCTGTGCGGTGGGTCTTTGTTAGCATGACATGCAGGACTTTCCCAGGGTTTTGACTGGATGGACTGTTCCCATGAGGACTATGGGAGGCAGTGAAGCTGGAGGCGTGATGATCCGACCGTTGGTCCCTTATTTTGAAGCCTTTCTCCTGCATGACGGTCAGCCTGAGGAGGGAGGGGTGCTGCAACACTGCAATCGCCCTGGAGTGGGGAATTGAAGCCAGGCTGACGTCATTCACCTGGAAACAGGACACCGTAGGGAAGAAACAACACTGTCAATGGGAAGACAGCTGAATACTGACCCACAAACTTTCCTCCCATTAAATAAAGATGCATTCATTTAGTTTCAATCTTTGGTAAATGCCTTTATTGCCATGGTTGTTTCTCTTTAATAAACTTGAAAGTAAGCCCCTTGCAGGGGCAAGAGCTTTGTGATAACACAAAGAATGAAAAACTGCAGCCATTGTTTTGTATCCTGAAAGCAAACTATTCATTGGCAGGTTCATGTTTTCATTTTCAGAATTGCAACACAACATTGCTCAAAATTAATTTTAAGCTCCTTTTAGATGCTGATATTAAATCGGCCTAAATTATTTGATACACTGCAGATTTTGCAGGGTTTCTCACTTTCACAATTTTTTATCATATAGGCTCTCTTCGACTATGAGAAAATCCACATCAGAAATCCAGAAAATGTCTGTTTTTAAAGTATTCAGTTTGTATTTTATTGCATGACAATAATTTTAAAGGTCTGAAAAACAAAACTTAGTATTAAGTATAGAAACCTTTGATAGGAGTAATCTCTATGATTTAGACTTTCAGCTCCATCGAAAGGTTTTGCTGTTAGGGTCAGGTCTAGAGACAGGCGTGACAGCTCCAGGACCTTCAAAGGATTCTTATGGAGCACCTCCTTGGCTGTGTGCTTCTAAATATGTCGTGCTGGAAGATCTCGACCCAGCTTCAATGCCCTCACTGAGGGAAGGAGTTTATTGAAACATGGTCCAATCTGTCCGGCCCTCAATATGGGGCAATCATTCTGCTCCATAAAAGCAACCAAGAGATGTTTCCTTTCATTGTTCATGGTTAGAAGGTAGGGTTGTAATCATCCTCCTTCTTCCCCTCAAACACCTTGAGTGGAGTTCAGACCAAAAAACAAATTTTTTCCCTCACCAGACCACTTGGTCTTCTCCGTTTTCTTCTCTCGATCATTTATACGGTCAGTAATAAACCTTAGATGACCTGGACATGTGCTGCGTTGAGCTGGGGGACATTGTGTGGGCTGCAAGTTTCAAACATGGTGGCAAAGTGTTTTTTACTTATGGTCTTCTTTGAGATTGTGGTTCCAGCACCATTCAAATAATTGATAAGGTCCTACTTTGTAGTCCACACCCTGAACTTAATCCCAGGTGACCCACGATGTGACATCTTGCATGGAGCCCCAGACAAAGGTGGAATGACCGTCATCTTGCATTTTCTTCCAATTGCTCCAACAGTTGTCTCATTCTCACCAATCTGCTTGGCTATTTTCTTGCAGCCCATCCCTGTCTTGTACAGATCTACTATTTCATCCCTGATCTCCTTAAATGTCTTATGGAGCGTTGTAGAGAGTCTGTTTGTTTGATTAAGTGTGTGGTCATGTGTCTTTTATACTGATAATGTCTTGAAAGAGATGCATTTAATATAGGTAATGAACAGAGAAGAGACAGGCCTCTTAAACAGGCCTGTTTAAGCTGCAGTTCTTACCGGTTTATATAATATCAGATGGGTAAATCATGCAATAAATATAGGTTAAAAACCAGACAGCGTAATTTTCTGGATTTATGTTGTAGATTCAGTCACAGTTGAAGAACATCGATGATAAAAATGAAAGCCTTCTTTCTTTTCAGTATATCAAAAAATCAGCAGTATAGCAGATACAGTTGTGTTCGAAATAATAGCAGTGCCTCAACAGCAGCAAGAAAATCACTTGTTTTATTAACATTTCAAACTCTATACCCCAGATAAGTTTCTGGGGGGTAAAATAAAGGTATAGAAAACCAACAAACCCAACAGGACAGCCATGCATACTGTGGATTCTGTGAAATTGAATGATTAACTGAAAAGGGTGTGTTCAAAAAAATAGCAGTGGTGAGTTCAATTAGAGAGGGCATCAATTAGGGAGGGTATTCTGGGAAAAAAGGGTGTTAACAGGTGATCCGTATTTAAGGATCAAGACAACTGGCATGCTGGCTGTGCATTTGTCCTGAAAAAACAAGGAAAATGGGTCGTTCAAGACACTGTTCTGAAGATGAGCGTTTCCTAATAAAAAAATTGATTAAAGAAGGGAAAACATACAAAGAGGTGCAGAAAATCGTTGGCTGTTCAGCTAAAATGATCTCAAATGCCCTGAAATGGGAGCAAAAAACTGAAAAACGAGGAAGAAAAAGAAAGACAACCCCTCGAATGGACAGAAGAATAGCCAAACTGGCGAAGACTCAGCCAATGATGGGATCCAAGAGGATCAAGCAAGACCTTCAGTTGACAGTGAGTACTGTGACAATCAGAAGACGTCTTACTGAGGTTAACCTTCCAGCAAGAAGCCCCCGCAAAGTCCCACTGCTGAGAAAAAGACATGTGCAGAAGCGTTTACAATTTGCCAAAGAGCACATTGACTGGCCTGAAAAGAAATGGCATAATATCTTGTGGACAGATGAAAGCAAGATTGTTCTTTTTGGGTCTAAGGGTCACAGGCAGTATGTCAGACGCCCTGCAAACACAGAATTCAAGCCAAAGTACTCACTGAAGACCATTAAGCATGGTGGTGCAAGCATCATGATATGGGGATGTTTTTCATACTATGGTGTTGGTCCGATTCACCGCATACAAGGGATCATGGATCAGTTCCAGTACATCAGGATCCTGGAAGAGGTCATGCTGCCATATGCTGAGGAGGAAATGCCTTTGAGGTGGACCTTTCAACAGGATAATGACCCCAAACACACCAGCAAGCGAGCAAAAGCATGGTTCCAGATGAACAAGATTCAACTGATGGAGTGGCCAGCACAATCCCCGGACCTTAATCCCATTGAAAACTTGTGGGCTGACATAAAAAGTGCAGTGCATGAGGCAAAACCAAGAAACGCTGAGGAATTGTGGAATACAGTGCAATTATCCTGGGCTGCAATACCTGTGGAACGATGCCAGAAGTTGGTTGACTCCATGCACCACAGATGTGAAGCAGTCATCAGAAACCGTGGTTTTGCAACAAAATATTAGTTTAGGATACTCAGCTAGGTTCACTTATCAAGAATTTCTTTGTTTGTACAGTACATTTTTGAGTTTCCAAGGAAAGATGGCAACACTGCTATTCTTTTGAACATGCCATTTCTTACTTTATTTGAAATATTATTATTATTATTTAAGTTTTGATGACTTTGCGCAATTGTTTTGCTTTGGAATAGAATGTACTGTGTCCCCAACGTATCTGTGTTCATTAAAGTACAATTTCTTTGAAGAATTTTGACATTTACTCATTTTTCTAAAGGCACTGCTATTATTTCGAACACAACTGTACTTTTCCCCACTATATAGTTATTAGTTTTTCCAAATTCAAAGGAATACAAACCCTAAAATTTGGGGTGATCACAGATACAATTGGGAGTGTTTTCTATCAGCTTGATAATTGTTTTTGGCTGACATCGGACTGACTTACTGTGCCAATATTGGATTGGAACATCCCTTACTAAAAGTATTATGCCTTTAAAGAATGTGAGAACACCCAGGGGTGATGTCATGACTGTATGCTTCCGGGTTGGTGTTCATTGGAGACACACCTGTGGGTGTATTTCAAGGCAGGAGTGACCAAAGTCCACCCTCAAGGGCCGCTGCAGGACATCGGCCCTTGAGGGCCCTTGTTTAGCTACCCTGCTTCAGCACACCTTATTTCCACAGATAGCTGATTATCAGGCTGTTACCGAACTGCAATTATCAGAATCAGCTGTGCTAAAGCCGAAAAACATGGAAAGAACCCTAGAGGACTAATTTATGACATGCCTGTTTTAAGGCAACCCCTCAAAACACGCTGCTTCCTTGTGTGACCTTATATGAAAATGAAAAGAAGCAGCTGCAGGGATAAGTGCCCAACACAACAAAAGCCTTGGTTAAACTTAAGAAATTACAGTTTTCTGATATTTTCATCAGACATTATTTGAGGAATCCTGACTGACCTAAAACGAGAAATATTTACAGCCCCATTTACTGCTTAAGCAGTTATTTATCAGACAAAGCAGATAAGAGGTAAAAACTGGCAATAATTAAAACCTCTTAAAAAATTTTAACTGAAAACTTCAGTTCAGTTTCACTAAAAAAAAAAAAAAGGAAAAAAAAATAAGAAGAATTTCTTAGAAAAGAAAGTGTCCTGGGGGGGAATAAACACCACATTACATTTCTTTGTAAATCAAAAGCAGTGAGTCAGACCATGACAAAATACAAGTGAAATTTCTCTCTCATAGATGACGTGTTTGTGCCTGGTAAAAACACACCTAGTTACCATGGGGATAAAACTTGTTTATCGTGAACTACCGTCCCCCATTCCCTCACTGAAAAACAGAGCAGTGTTTACATTATCTTCAGAATACAGCTTGGAGTCCTTCACTCAAACCCATCCCGGGATAAGCGGTGTCACGCTATGCAGCGTTTCCCACACATGGGCGGGACACCTGCCTGTATTACTAGGCATACACATGTAATTAGTGATAGATTTAAATATTTATTTGGGAATTAATTACTATCCAAAATAATAACTCCTTTATTACAGAGATCCCCCATTAACCCCAATCCTCTCTTTTAATACAGTCGTATCGTATCTGTCTCTTCCCTCATAAATCACAAACACGCTAGATAAACAGATTCTGTAGCCAAAGAGGGCTCAAGGGCTCCCAGTGTTGCCAGCCTTCCCAAACATTTAGCAACATTAACCTATCTGTTGCTATAGAGAGATTAGAGGCTGAGATCTACAACTACTCTTTAAGTGCATAATAGCAGGGGAATGGTCCAATATTGTGCACCAGTAAAATAATTAGCAGCAGTATGCAGTGCCATGAAGATCTGCTCCCAAATATTTTCTTCTACCAACTTCAGCACAAAGTTATTTATCTGAGAACACAGTAAGACAGGTCAGCAGTGTTTAAATCTCAGAAATCTTTCTTTAGGGGACATTTAGCTCTGTATGTGGCCCCCGTGCACCCCGATAGAGCGCTCAGCACTGCTCAATGCATGGTAGCCTCTCTGCCCTTGCACTTGATAGACTATATATGGCTCATCAGCACCATCTGATACGTGTAAAAATAGTTCTTGTGTAACTTTCGGGATTTAATTTCTTCAAGCTCACCAGAGCTGAAGCAAAAATGTATATAAATGGTGGGCATTAATGGTACAAAGTTTAAAAATGGATTATAGACATGCTTGAATTCTAAAAACTGTTGAGAAGAAGGCTTTGCATTTGCATTTTGAATTAATAATCAAGTCAGTTCAAAATATTTATTTTAATATTTTTCTTAAAATAATCTAAATACGGAAGCTAAACTAGCAAAATCTAAAATGAAAGTGTAATATAGCTGTTCTATATAGATGATATTGGTCTAAATCTCTAAAAAAAAAAAAAAAAAAAAATCTTTTAATGTGCATGTAGGGTGTAAGAAAACATGAAACCATGAACCAATATATTTTTATATAATAATGTAATGAGCATTTTTAGTCTACCTTTTTCCACAATTCATATTTCAAGTGAGGAGCTTTTCTTAGTTTTTAAATTTGTGTGAAGTCAATGAAATACAATTTGTCTTAACCTTGTCTCATACAGGCAGTTATTAGACAGTAGCTATGTTTGTTTAAATGAAAAAAATTTGAAGAGTTTACTAAAATGTGTTTGCATCAGAAGAAAATGTGGACTCTAGTGTTTTTCCGGACATTTGTAGTCATAATAAAATGACCTGTCGGAATAAAAATATGTCATATAAACATACTAATTGGAATATCCTGATAGCATCTAGCCACTCAAAGCGAAAGTATGTCATGTGGAGGCGGAGCATTGGCATAACCCCACCTCTCAGTATGTTCAGTTTGCTCACACAGAAATAAACTAAAGAAACTTTACAAAACTACAGCTCAGAATAAGTTTCAAACATCTAGCTTCTTGGACACGAACAAAGAAAATATATTAGGGAATGATTCATGCTTCAGAAAAGCATTTAAACAAAAACAAAAATTGCTCAAGAATATATACTAGGATAGAAAGTCCTGATCAGCCTGTTTTTCTCTTGATACTGACTAAAGCACATACTGCGATCATTTTAAGTTAATGTGGGCTGCCAGCTTAATTATCCATTTGCTTTTACGCCACTGAATCATATAATAAGGTAATTAACAAGACCCTTGAGCACTTGACCTCATGCTGAGGAGGAACTTCAGCTATTTGACCCAGGTGTGCTCGTGCAAGGGCACATCTTAAAGGTGCAGGACATTGGCCCTCTAGAGTCAAACTAAAGCCAAACCCCTCTGTCTGATCACCCTGCTCACATAAAAAGACAACATTACACAAAATGTAATGGCAGCATCTTTCTTCACCCCACCTCTAGGATATGGTCCCCTGGAGCCAGTCTGCCATCTCGAGAGGCTATCGAGTCCCGGATGATCTCCTGGATCACTATATTTCCCAACGGTGTATCTTTCCCTCCAACAATACGGAGGCCTAACTCCTCCTCAGGCTCATCCCTGAACAGCTCCACCACGTTTGCCTCGGCCACAAGACTGGACCGCAGGGGGGTGTTATCTACAGGAAAGAGGACCAGAGCACAAAAATGATTAAACAGAGCTGGATTTATTATGTTTGAATCAGGTAATTTAATCCTTTTTTTTTTTTTTTTTACATATTCTAAGCTTGTTGACAAATATTATGATGTAGTTTTAAACCATACTTAGCTGGACAGAAATATCTCCACGAAGAATGTTTACTGTATTTGTAATATTATTTATAATTTTCTTATCGAGGCTTACTGTTTCCATATCACGGCTTGTTTGTTTTTTAGAAAAAATAGAAATACAAAATATGTTTAAAGGTAAAAATACAAATTTTACTTCCGATTATGGATAACTCTTAGCAGTCAGGGAAGAATAAAGAATCCTTAAAATGTAAAGCTAAATCTGCAGAACCCATGGCTAATGCATTGAGAAACAATTCAAAATTCATCAAATAAAGTAAAACCAAACTCTGTTTTTAAATGCCAACATAGTTGGATGTAATTCAGATTTAGGTTGTAAAATCTAAAACAAATAAAACTCTAGCATAATTATTAGAATTGAATTTTAGCAACCCTGCAGTCATAATGAAAGCATGGGGACAAAATCAAAATATTATTCAGAGCTGAAATTCTGACAAAAACAAAAAGAGAGAAGAATGTGTAAAGGTAAATCCACTGCAGCTCATCAAAGCATAAAGGGCCCCTCAGAACAAAAACCTGCAAGGACGGCTTTTAAAATAAAATGACTTGCTTCAAAAACTATAAGAAGTCTGGGATCATGCTTTGGTCAGATAAGACTATTGTTTTGTTGTGGCATCTTTGTGGAGGATCTGGGCAACTGGGGTGGTAGGGGCCCAGAAAAATCAACCATACAGGTGGCCGTGTTATTCTGAAACTTCAGGAGAAGATGATAAGCAGACAAGAAAGGGTGGGTGGGGGGTGGGGGTGGGGGGGGCACTTGTGGTTAGAGCTGAAAGCCTGTGTTCTGACAAGGCTGCAGGTACCAGCTTCAAATCCAAAAGCCTGCACCTCTGGGTCTCTGATAAAGACCCTCAGCCTCAGACTGTTCTGCTGATGGACGGGCAGATAGACAAAAGAAGGACAGAGTTGGACATGAGAAGGGGGATCTTTGGGCTGTGCAATCCTGCTGAAAAATTTATTATAATACAAGCTATTATATCTTTCCATATCGATAACTGATTGGTGTTTTCTTTACTAAATTGAAATAAGGACCAGGGGAGAAAAAAAGCCATGGTTTAACTATAACCCCACTTCAAAATAACCTTTAACACATAAAGACCGGTCAGCCCTGCAGCCAACCTTGCTTAGCTTGATGATAAGAGTTAAGAGGTTAAATCCTTTCCTTTAAAAATTGTATTTCACATATTTTTTTCTGCTATTGATGAGATATCTATGGCAATATATCTATATTAATTTATTGAAAGCCCTAGCAGATCTTGATAATGAAAGTTCAATTAACTTTGCTTTTAATTTTACTTTCATTCAGCCACCAACCACCTGTAATATGATAGCAGGATGCTGTATCATCTGTTATGTAATGTTTAACAGGAGTTTGTTGACCTTTGGTTACAGCATGATGACATTAACAGCCCAGTTCACTTTCATTTTACTTCAACTCACACTGGTTGCAAAACACGGTTAAATGAAGTAATTTTGTTTTTTAACAATCACCCTATCTCAAAACTAAAAGGTGCTTATATGCTACGAATACCTCAAGTGTGCGCAAATTTTACAAACTATAAAAACATGACTTTACTTTGAAATATGCATGAGCTGGTTTGGTATTCATGCTGTATGATAATCCAATCAACACTAACATGGTGTCCCTGTATGCACACAAAGATTTCAAATGTAAAAATAGATCTTTTAGATTTTGTTCATAACAGCTTACATGTGAAATGTAGTTTTAAAAAAAATATTTTATTTTCTACGAGACTCTAGGATTTTTTTTTCCACCTCATTTGCTGCTAGGCAACAGGAGTATCACATGGTTGATTTGACATCACAGAATGGCTGAAGAATTTTCTTCTTTGTATATTAAAATCAAATATTCAAGAATCTGGCTTTAACAGCATTTAGTTCCTAAAGGAAAAGTTAGTTATCCGATTCCACCTTCTGATGATCCCCCTTTCCCTGGAAGAACTAATGTTCACCTTTACAGGCAAAGCAAAGCAATTATTATCCAGTGATGTGTCAGCCAGTCACATTTTCCAGCTCGCTGCATGCATTTTTTTCCAGCACTCAGCAGGGGTTTAAACATATCCCCTATGAAGCTTGACCTAATGGACCTGTGTTGCTTTATGTGTAAACTGCAGATGCAGGATAGGAGGTTGAAGCTTTTCCATGGTTTATGCATGTTATGCACACTGCTTTAACCTTCAACACTGTCTGCCATCTGATGTCATGATCCGGCTTGTTGTGTGTAAAAACATGTTCACCTGTCACTAATCTGTTTCCTTTTGGTCTGTCGGAATAACAGAATGGAAACAGAAACAGCCCGGTAAGGACATTTTTACACCAATGATACCAGACAAATGTGCCTAAGTGGTTAAAGACTGGAGAGATGAAGTAAATCAAAGGAATTAGCATGTTGACACAAACAAAAAAATAATAAAAAGGTATGAGTCACTTTTGGGTCTTTATAGGCCAAGAGCAATTTGCTGCAATCGAAGAGGCATTCTAAAGTGTTGACAGATTTTGGTCTGTGATGAGGGTCTACTGTTGCTTTAAGGGTTTTTCCGATTATGCAACTGTGTGGTTAAAACATCTGTGAGCTGGTACATGTTCCTGCAACTAAGGTGATGATTCACCTGTGCTCGAAAGTATAATTTCAAACCAAGAACATTGACTGCTCATTCCTCACAGTGATGCAACCATCTACGTTTAGAATAAAAAGCCCTTAAAGTAAAATCAACCGTCACTCTGGAAGATAGGCAGCTTATACGAACAAATTCAGAGGAAGATGTAGTCATATTAAACATGTTTTGACAGGAAACAGAAATGTTTGATGAAAGGACTCCAGTCCGTACCATCGTCAATTTCCTCATAGGCAGGATTAATGAGACCCGGCTCAGACTGATCCCTGGTGGGATTTCGAGACAGCGTCGCTGAATGTTTCGCATCTCCAGATGACTCTCCATCACCCTTGCGCCCTTTTATTTCATTCCAGGAAGGCCTCTTCCTCTTCTCTGCTTCTTCCCTCAGCCTCTTAAAAACAGGACATCTGGGAAAAACACAAAGACACCACATGAGAGGAGGTTTTATTCTTAGAAACAAAAATATCAGACTATAAATAAACAGAAAGAGACCACACTAATTGGGTCATAATACATAAATCCATGGAAATAGATGTTTAAAAAAGTTTAGCCAACAAGGGAGGCTAAGAAAAGCAATATGAATAGGATTAAAGCAGAGAGTTTGGTGTGACAGGCTTTGTTTGATTTAGTCAGCGATCTGAGCCTCCTGCTTATCCCTTGGTCCTGAACTTTGTATCATTTGCACAGAGAGGTAATGGGAGGGCACCATGACTTAATAACTGCGTAATGTCTGACAACAAGGGTGATAAGCACCACAATGGGCCTGAGCAAAAGAAGACAACTGACCTGCACCTTTGTCTTAAGCCCAGTTATTATAAACCTGTTTATTTAAACTAATGCTGCAACTGAGAGGATGCAACAACTTAAAGACAAACATCTTTCTCTGCAGATAAATCTGACAATTTAATGATGTGTTGCTTTGAGAATCTTTTGCTCATACTTAATCGATACAATTAACATGTTTTCCTCAACAGAAACTTTAGACCAATCTGATTGTATTATCTCTGCAAGGTGCCTTGAGATGACATGTTGTTAATAGCTGCTATAAAAATAAACTTATTTGAATACTTTAATGTTACCAGAACATTAAACAACGTGTACTGTCAGAAATAAAAAGATAACCTGAGTGAGCACAGCATCCAGTTTCCTGAAGAAAATCTCACTTATCAGGAGAAAAAAAGCTTTTCAAACCAACCTTGTGCTATGAGAACACAAGTAGCAACCCGCCTAAATTTTATAACTGATTCAGGGAACCTCTGCAGCAACAACTAAATAATACATGTAGAACCAAAAAAGTTAAAAAAAAAAAAATCCACTGGACTTTTTTCCAAGTTTGAAGACGTTTTGCTTCCCATTAAGGAATCTTTTTCCAGTTCAAACAGTCAGAAATAACATCGAGTTCGAGGCTTTATAGAGTGGACCAAAAACAAAGCCTTGTTTTGGCTTAGAAAACATGTAAATCAAACCGGATGAATCAGTCCGACCTTTTGGAATGGGGTCGTACCCCATACCCATCTATGTATCTGTAAGGGGGGTCGTTAAAGGGAATTGTTGTCCTGGCTTAACAGACGAGGGGTTCTGTTCCCCTGTGAGGGGGTGTGGGTTGCAATGATAGCGATTCTTTTTGGGACCAGAATGTTCACAATTTGGACAAAGAGGACAGGTTGTTTGAGAGGGGCATGAAGGAAGCTGCATTTGTGTCCTGTTTCTAAATGTAGCTTTTTCTTTGCAAAATGCATTTTATCTTTCACAAGTTTTATATACACAATCAAAATATACAAGCATTAACACCGTTTCCAAATAGAGTATAACAAAGTATAATGACTGATTAAGTAATTGGCTATCAAAATGAAACATTTCTCCATTCCAAGCTAAAATAGTATCTTAAAAATATCTAGCTTGTCTGAAATAGTAACATTTACTAAATAGCTATGATGAACAGTCACCACAATGGCCAGAACCCTACCTGTTGTGCAGGTGAGGCTGCAGCTCACAACGCTGCATCTTCTGTTGGCAATCTGCATAGTGAGGGCAGGAAACAAGCAGTTTGTCCAGCAGGTTTCTAACCAGCAGGCTGGAGGGTCGACACTGATTTAGCTGTAGACGCTGGCGATCCACGGGGCAAAAGTCCTGCTCCTTCAAGAAGTTGCTCAGACAATGATAACAGTAAGTGTGTCCACATGGAGTATCCATGGGTTTTAGGAGGGGCTGCAGACAAATGTGACAAACCAACTCATCGTCCACTTCGTTTTGGTACTCATACAGGTGAGTTTCCTGGCCCTCGTGCTGTTGGCCACATTCTTTACACACGCGAGCCCAGGAGAGACCCGCAGCGCTGCTTGGGGCTTTGGTTTCTGTTGCAGCCATCGTCTGAGGAATCCCAAGCAAAGCCTCTATCAGGAGAAGATCCTCCTATCTCCTCAAAAGCTCACTCCAATGGGTCTTGGTTATTTTTTACGGCTCCATCTTTGAAAATGAACCCTCAAATGTAGATGCAGAGGCACAGTGTTATCTCCTGGTCTTCATCTTAGGCTTTCTGTAGAGAGAGAAAAACAAAGTAAGCTCCATGGCAGCTCTTCAGCTGCTCCCACTCATACTGGCCGGCACTACAGGAAATCACAAATCCAAAAAGCAGCAGCAATATGGCAGCGGGCTGCAGCTGCTTCCTCTCAGCAAGCTTCCTGAGGGACGAGAGGAATTTTGCTAAAAGTCAGCTAAAAGTCATGGTACCTCTTGGGGAAGTCGCCAAACTCTGAGGCAGAACGAAATGGACTGAGTCAAACCTCAGCTTATGGGGGAGCACATGGTACTTTACAAGAGTAAGACGTTTGAATTAGGAGGGCAGAAATGCAATCCCTTTCACTAATAAGCCCTTCAGCACCTAAAAGCCGGCGGTCACCATGCTTTTAGTGCAGCTCCTGATTTCCTTTTAAATTCCCCCAAAACAGGAGAGATCCTTTAAAGAAACTCTTGAAAAAATGGGCCATATCCACATCTAGCCTGTTATGAGATTTTATCAGCATGATAAGGTTGAGTAAAAATATCACTCCTATTAGCACTGCTGTTAATGTAACAATCACATCGGATAAAAGCTTGTTTTGAAGGAGATGCACAAAAAAAAGAGAGGCTGCACAGAACCAACTAACGTTCCGTCTCTCAGGAACAGAAAAATAACCTGAGCTTGGTTAGGGAATTATATGTAATCAGTGCCAAGATGCAGCAACCTTCACTTTTAATTTTTTAAGCAGTTACAGGGGGGAAAAAAATGTTTAACTCCAAGTATCAATGAAATAGTAAAAATTAAAAGAAATAGAGATACAAGTAGTTATTTAAAAAATGAAATATATTTTCTATAATTTATCAATTAATCTCCGCAATACAGTTGTTCTGATACTAAAATGTCAAACTGGATATCAATACCCCGGGAAATATTTCTTACTATACATTATTTTCCATATCATGGGGATAAAAAAAAAATCACAAATTATAAAAAGGCATAAAAAATATTTCAAATATATCAAAAACTAACCATTTTCAGGTTTAACACTGATAATGTTTTCACAACAGAATTGGAGTAGATGAAATGAAATGTTAAGGTTGTCTTTTACAGAGCAAAAATCTACCGTATTTTCACGACTATAAGGCGCACATAAACGTCTTTTTTTCCCCCTCAAAATGTGCGGTGCGCCCTTTGGTGCGGTGCGCCCTATGTGTGTTGCAACTGCGACTTTTGAGACCACCTCATTGAGGAGATGATGAAAGAGTGGCTGAATGTAAGGAGACCAGGAGTTTTTTTTTCCACTCATCACCATCGCTGATGTGAAAAACATGGTGAAAAAAAATAAACGCTGTGCTCGCCGTTATCTCGGGGGTCTGACAAAGGAACTTCAACCGCTCGACATCGGTGTGAACCGGCCGTTCAAAGTAAGGCTGCGAGCGGCGTGGGAGCGATGGATGACCGACGGAGACCACAGTTTCACGATAAGTGGAAGGCAGCGCCGGGCAAATTACGCCACCGTTTGCGGATGGATTGTTGATGCTTGGACTAACGTGTCTGCTGGCTCTGTTGTTCAAGCTTTCGCAAAAGCCGGCATTATTTCTGAGGAGCCGCCCGGCATATAAAGTGACTGACAGCGAAGAAGGGGAAATTTGCATGTCTGATTTAGCGCAGCTGTTTAATTCAGAAACAGAGGATGATGACTTTGATGGGTTCGATTAATACTTTGTAATAAATACTTGAATAAAGCACAATCATACTCAGTTTTTTCTCCCGCTCTATTTTTCTACCTGAAAACTTAATTCAACAGCAGCCTCTGGGCCCGGTCTCCTCTTCACCGCGGCGGCTGGCAGGTGTTTTTCATCTAAATAATCTAAATCTTGCAGCTATATTTGCTGTGATCAGTGGGAATAAAGTAGTTTTAATATGTTTTTAAGTGAGAAATTCCACCTGAAAACTTAATAATTGCAGTCAGTTCATCCAGATTATCATCCTGCCTATAGGCTACTATTTCTGTCGGAGGCGCTCAGACCCCCACATACCAGCGGTACACTGATAGTAGAAATCCCTTCATCAGCAGCCTCTAGGCTGGGTAGCCTCCGGGTTCATTGCGGTGGCTGGCAGGTGTTTTCATCTAAATAATTTAAACTGCAGGCACCAGGATACCGGTAATAAAAGCGAACATATTCTGTCGGCAGGTTTCAGGATTTTAAGTTAATTTAGGAGTTATCACAGTGCTCTGTCATCTGCAATGTGTAATAAATACATGAATAAAGCACAGTCATACTCAGTTTTGGGCCCGCTGTACTTTCTAAATACGCAGTAGAGGTATTTAAAAGTAGTAGAGGACATGTACCTGTATATAAAAAACGCGCCCTATAGTCCGGTGCGCCTTATGTGTGTGTTAAATACAGAAATGGCACACATAACTGAGACTGCGCCTTTTAGTACGGTGCGCCTTATGGTCGTGAAAATATGGTATAAATGTTAAATTAACAACAAAAATGTGCAAAAAAACACAGTCCTGTATCCGGATACAGTGTCTTAGGATCTATATTTTTCTACTCTGCTGCAAGACATACATAACATGATGGTAAAACAGAGTAATCTTTATCCTTTTGAACTTTCAACCTCTGTTTCTTTGGTAAATGCTGGCAGTGTTTTGAAAATTTCAAAGGAAAGCTGCGGGTTTGTTTTTCTCCAGCTCCAAACAGAGAGACTACCAGCTATGCTACTCCCCATAAAACAGAAGCTAAACCCTGTAAAGATGGCATCTTTGCTTAAATATTTACTTTTTAAATGACTGCTTTCTTTCATCTCAGTTCTTGGCTTGTAAAAAATTATTCTGAATGCTTTTCTTGCATGGCAGTGTCTAAAGAGAAATCAGAATAAGCAAATCAGAATAAAGTAAAATTAAAGTGCCTAAAACGTCAAATAGACTGTTTCAAGCAGACTGATATTTGCTGGATAATTATTTAGACGATCTGCTCAGGCTGACAGTTTTTAATAAAATAGTACTCAATTTATAATAAGAATGATGAGTTATTTTCCTTTAATTTGTATTTTTTCTGGTTTAAACAAACCCGATATAAGACTAAAGCCTCTCAATGAGCCATCCATGGAAAGCAGGTGTGCTAAAGGAGGGAAACATTTAAAAGAAGCAATAAACCCACTCCTTGAGGACCGACTTTGGACTGTTCTAGGGTGAAGTGCAGGATTGTTCTCTAACCGTCTGACCAGGAGGACACAGCAACATGCATTACTTTTTTTCCCATTCAATATGAACAATCTTCTCTCAATCCATCACTTTCTCATGCATGGCAGTAAGCAGACTTTAAACCATGGAAAAGGTTTAATGGATTTATTTAACAATAGATGTTCTATATCGTAATGCCTTAAAACCAGAAAACAAGCTCTGCATACCCACATCTGGACAGGTTTTAAAGACCAGGAGGAGTACTCACCAAAATTTCTAATATAAAAGTTAAAAAATATCCATTAAGAAACTCTGAAAGTCAAAAAAACATTTCTTGAAAGCAAGACTTTTTGCAGAGTATAGAGAGGAGAAAAGGTAAGCAATGTTTAAATATGCGTAAATGTGAAAAAGAGCTTAAAAAAAACAAACAAAAAAAAAAACAGTCAACTACCTTCATACTTCTGATCTTTGTGATCCTAGTCCAGATTTCAGACAACCGCCCCCCAAAAAAGAAAGCGTTTTCTTCTCTGTGTTACCCAACCGAGTCACTTCAGATGATATTGTCTCCTGCTGCACGCAAACTCGAGACTCTCCCAGTCGCCCGGAGCCTGAATGAAACCAGAGCCCAGCCTCCCAGACTATCGGAATAATGCCTGTGTGTGTGCAGCAGTAGTTTGGATGTGTATGAGCTCCGACTGCACCGGTAAGAGGAATGCAGATGGTAGGGGAGGGGCCTGGTATAACTGTGGAGTGTGTTAGGAGGGGGAAAAAATTGTTCAGCCTCTGTTGTCAGTGCCAATGCATATGCAGGTGTGTGTATATCAGACCGCTTGCATTGTACTGATACAGGTAAAGGACTGTTGGATAAATGATTTATAGGAAACACAAAAGCAAAGTTAGAAATTTGTGTGCGCAAGTTTTTTTTTCCGCGTATGAACACACAGGTCCGCTCCCTTTCTTTGTCTTTCCTAGCCACAGGGAGTTCTTACTCAGTTATGGATGAAGGATCACATACCACTGAGAAAGGAGCACAGTAGAGACTAAATGTGTCCTTTTCATTCAAACCAACATGAAATTGTGCATGAAAATAGCACTGGAGGAAATGCACTCTACAAACTGTCTTTCCTGCTGCCTTTAGAGTTTATTCTTTACTCCATGATAGTGAGATGTGCAACAAAGATCTTATAAATGACTTAATTTGACATCCAATCATTACTTTCATTGAAAGGAGCAAAAGAACCACAGGCTGTACTTAACTTTAACAGCAAGTGTTTTCATCCTTCATGCTAAGGTTTCTTTCTTTTCAGACCTCCTATTTTAAAAGTAGCCAATTGATTGCCTAGAAACTGAAATATGGCTTAAAGGGGAAGAAAAATATCTATGCACAGGACAGGGTCTTAATGACCTAAGGCATGGATTAGGTGTTTAGTGAAGCAACTTTAGGATTTTAGATGCACAAAGCTGGTTCACGTCTGAAATGGGTCTATCACATGCTGGAAATCTAAACAGCAGAGTATTGGTTAGAATTAAAGTCACAACAAAATAAAGGTTTAAAAAAATGCAGTACTCATTTTCAGCATACCTAAACCACTGAGACAGATTCATGTTTCCAATGGTCTCAACAGAGCTGAACTCAACAAAGGAAACACTTTAGCCATACGAAAAGCCTTGTAATCATGAGGAAACATGAGCTTTCAAGGAAAATTTCTGCAGCCCCTCAACGCCTGCCAGTCGCCTCAAGGATTACCGGAGGTTGTGTTTCATCAAAGCTGGGTGAATCTGCTGCTTTGATGGCTGATGTGAGTGATTCACATGTACGGCGACCACACCCTCAGTGATCACAGGTGAGGTTGAGTTCGACGGCAATTTCCCCCCCCAATCTGTTGCGGTAGGAGGTGGCGTGTCATCTACACCAACCTTACACCAAAAATCTGGGATTCTCACCGTCAATTATTTCCATACATGAAATCTAATTAACCACAAACACAGCTGTTAGCTATCTCTGACACATCAGTGTCTGAGAAACTAACAGTAGTAAGGAAACCTGACATTTTAGATGTTGCTTAAATAATTTTAGATCTAATCATTTGTGATTAACTCTGATACTTGTTTGTCAACAAAAACACAATATTTCTCCTCAGTGAAGAGTCTGAATTGTTTTAAAGCTCAAAACAACTTCTCAGGAGAAGTCAAACAGCCCTGCCTTAGCCTGCATGCCAGAACTTTGACAGATGACAATGAGGTATGTTTGTGAAACTTGTTTCTGCATAAAACTTCTCCCAAGCTTCCTTTCATCACCAATATTTTGTTGTGTTCATCTTATTTAACTGCACAGAGGAAATAACTTTTTCTACTTTTACTCAATTTATTTCCCTTTGTAGTCTTTAACATCTGCTGCACATCAACACTTTAAAAATTCAAATAATGTAAAACAAATCAGCTGCATACCAGGCTTGGCAAAGACAAGCATTTGTTTTTGCTTTGCATACAATCAGCAATATTGTTTTTGCATATTCCCAACAACCCAGATAATCCATGAACTTCTAAGGCCGCCTTCTTCATGTTGCATGTACTTCGTGCTAAAGTGCTTCATTCTGATCTGAGGCACATCTTTCTAAACAGTTCTGCGTGCAAGTTCTAATGTATACATTTAATATTTAGCATCCTAAAGTGTAGGCATGATCCAACTTTTGGTAGTACACTATACTGACATTTCAAAATGTTATGATATAAAAGCTGTTAAAAGTTTATTGCGAACTATGTCTGCTTCCTAAAGTCCTTATACCGGGAAGAAAATATTTTCTCCTGCTTGATTTTGGTAACAGAATGAATAATCATTACTTTTTCTATAAAAAAAATAGAAAAGGAAGAAAGCTATTTGTTCCCTGTGTAAAACACTTTTTTCTTTCCAAGAAAATCTTTTATAGGCCACCGCCCAATCCCAAGAACTAAACAATTTATATAGCAGTCTATCCAAACCCTGAAGCAGCTCTCTTTCGCTGTGAATGCCTGCATAATGAGTTCCAGTGTGCCAAAAGTGGGGAGATGACATGAGTTCCTTTGAGAAAGAAAAATAAGACTAAGGCTGTGTCCAAATTTAGGCGCTCCATCCTTCAAAGGTTGTGTTTGCAGGTCGACTACATCACAAGAAGGTCCACTTTCAGGACACCTTGAAATGCAGCTAACAATTGCAGCGTTCTTTTCCCAGATTTGAAGGAGTGGTCAGGTAAGTCCTTCATGGTCCACCCTATCCCATGAGTCATTGAGGATTGGTCAAGCAAAGGTGGCAATGTTGGATGAAACATCAGAATTTGTGATTAAATACCAGTTTCTATGACCCAAAATTAACTTTTAAGGAGACACTATAACCCACTTTAAGTACTTAGGGGGTGTGGCCATGGCTTTACAGATGTAACAAAGGCAACAAACAAACACACAAAGATATAACTATACCTCTTTGACCTAGTCAGACCAAGGAGATAAAAAGTGGAGCCTCCTTCCCTGAAATGTAAATGTTAATGTAGACTCTTTTCCTGTATGAGAATAACAACAGTTGCAGATAAGCACGTCGGACAGGATCCACCAAATTCTGTGAGGAAGTCATCGCTGCTTGTATTCTTCCTGGTAGATGATCACCTCAGTGAACGTTCATAGCAAGTCTGTACCCTGACAAAATCGTTCTAATGCAGGGAAAGACCCTGTATGACTGCTACCACTTACAATATGGGACACAAGAGAAATCTAATATATATAAGAAAAATGGCATTTTAGTTGAGAATAAAAAAAAAGCTGGTTGTTCTGGCCCTTACTAATAAATTCAAGGTGATAGCTACAACTTTTACATTAAAACAATTTTTTTTAAAACAATACATCCTGAGACAACTAGAATGTTTAAGAACATAATTATTTAACTGAAAAAATATACAATATGTAAATCAATTATATAAATTTTGATGGTCCAAATTATATAAATATTTACTTTTGATACGATGCAAACATCTGGGGATGCACCAATAGGAAGAGTAGTTTGTAGTCATGTGACAGAACTAAGGCGTTGTCAGATCTAGTGCTGAAATAATCAATTGGATTAATCACGATCAACAGATTATTGAAATAATAGTCAATTGATTTAATAATCAATTAATTTTTAACTGGAGCATAGTAGGGTTGTCAAAAGTATCGATACTCAAAAAAGTATCGATACTGAAATGTTGTATCCGGATACAATACTCATTTTCAAAAGTATCGAGTACCAGTCGCACCTAAGCAGTCATTCATCTAAAGTGCAGAATAGAGGAAAATGCACTTTCTGAACACTGTGATTGAATAATTCTGTGCACTTTTCAGTTTCAGACTTTTTTTGTAACAGTTGCAGCTGCTGAGAATTATTTTTGTTTCTTAACCGGTTTGGCTAGTGTCATTGTTATGTGTGCAAAGCATAGCCAAGTAAGGAAAACTTAATTTTAATTTTGTAAGTTTTTTATCAAGCTTGCTAAATACTGTGCACAGCAAACAACCTCAAAATGTTGTTCTTATTGTTTATTGTATTTATTTATTGTATTTTAATTATTAATCAAAATATTTCTGTTGAAATTTTATCCTTGTGGTATCGAAAATGGTATTGAGTATCGAATATTTTCCTTAGTATCGGTATCGAGTTGAAAAGTTTAGTATCGTGACAACCCTAGAGCATTGACTCTAAAACATGCATCTAGTTGACAGATTGACACACTTAGAGCAGTAATTATACCAGGATTGTAAAAAATATATAAACATTTTGCATTTAAGATAAAAAAAAAAGGTTTTCTTCAATCAATAAGCTCCATGCAGAACTTCTCAAGTGGTAAAATTAGAGTTTCACCTGGTACAATTTCATTAAAAATCTTTAACTAATCTTTGGCTATCTGATTTTGAATCGAAAAAAAATAATCCACAGATTAATCGATTTGCAAAATAATCATTAGTTGCAGCCCTAGTCAGATTGTAGTACCTCTGAGATAGAGCTGAGTTTAATGCCCCATACCGGTACCACGATTCTTAAGATTAGCTCATTTTCAACCAGAATACATTCAGGTCACCTTTGATTGCACTTTATGGAGAAAAAAAAAATAAAATAAAATAACTTTCTCTCCCCAGCTTTGAAAAGGATACCAAACTGCAACATGTTTAAGGTTAATAGGGCCATGTATAGAGAATAAAAGCGTTTACATCCTTTCCGTTATAGAACTCCATCTGTCCTGGAAATGGGATCCTACCCTACTTCCATCAGCTCATTTTTGGCTTTGGATTTGTGAATAATTTGAGTAATTTGGAGTTTTAAGGTTGATTTTCGTAGGTCTTTTATATTGTACAAATAAAGACGACTAAAATACAGATAAACACAATGTAATCACATTTTGTCGGATTGCTCTGAGCATGCCAAATGTTGACATCACATCAGCAATACAATGAAAAGGATTCAAAACGCTTAAACTTGTCTCTGAAAAGTCGTTATTCTTCTTTATAGAATGTTATTCAGCATTTCTTTGATCATTTAAGGATACAAATAAATACTTTCAGCACCAAAATCATGGTGAACTGAATGAACATCTTGTTGCACATGTGCTTACAAACCAGTGGTACAGATTGCTCTTCTGGTAGAGTTCACGAAATGACACTGAGAAATGGCTTCATC